CTGCCTCTCCTTTCAACTCAGTTTTGACTCTGATAGGTCAATCAGGGTGTTCTGCATTGGCCTACACATAATGCCAACGAGGGGCGGTGGCTATAGCACCTTTCCAAATGGAAGTGACAAGTGCCAGCGTCTACACTGACACGTCTCAAAAGACATACCAAACACTATTATTCGAATAGGGCTCAGAAAGCTCAACTGAAATGCACAGTAACTATGCCAGGTGAACCAACCACATAAGCCTCAAGCCCCTGCACCCATGTTGTAGCCAAAATACAAATAACTTTCACTCAGGCAGATGATACTCTGGTCTTTCTTGTCAATTTTCAAGTTTACTAAACATGGAACTAATGTGGTGCTCCCTAAACTTGTGTTGTCTCAACAACACAGTCGTGCTGCCACACCTCAGTCTCTTCTGAGGGTCCCTCATTTATCTTCTTTTGTGGAAACCACTGTGAATGATCAATACTAAGCATCTGTGTGAATCCTACATGAGTAGTGGGCAGAGAGGAGCTAGACACACCCATGCTGAAATGGGCTAACAAATCAATTATAAATTTTATGGGTTCCAATTTTTGGGGTTCACTTTGTTAGAGGGCAGCGCAGTAAGCACTGAAAAAGTTCTGTTTGAAAATGTTTATTTATCGGAGCCACACTATTTGATCTAGTTTGTACCTAGAGCTCTGTAGAATACTTTTTACCATAAAAAAACATCAAAACTCAAACCTTGACCACAGCATTGAAAACGGCATTGTACCTGATGATGTGTACATCATTATTAACCCAGTGTGCTTGGTGCACATGGTGTAAACATTGGCATATTGTCACTGTCCAAAGAAAAACAAGTATCTCTAAAATAGTTACTTTACAGGAGAAGCCAAAAACACTCTTACCTTTCAATGTAAGTCAATGTAAAGAGGTTTTATTCCAAGTGATTTTAGAGCATTTCTGTTGGTCCACTCATCATGAAATCGTTACACACACACAACATAAAGGACAGCTCTGGTGTGTTGAAATGATGTAGAAAAATAAAAAAAAAAAAATCAACAAAAATGGAGAGACATGGTTTTCTCTGGGCAGTGACGATATTTAAGTCAGAAGACTGGGAGCACCATATTATTTCCATATTTTGGCACTCCTCATTTTTGCTGTATAGAAAAATATACTGCATCAAGACTTCAGCATAACAAATCGAATTTAAAATTTTGTTTACATCCCTACTCCAGTCTGTATATGGAAGCTGCAAAAACAGCTTCTAATTCATTGGTTTTCATGACACCATAACAACAATCAGTCTAAACTGTTTAACTCCAAGTGATAAAGAAAGGTTGAAAAATGTCAAAAATTTATTATGGCTGTTTTTTAATGTAAAAACACACAAACGATCTATGCTAACCTTAGGGGAAAAAAAATACAAGAAAACACAGGAAATGTACCTTTTGAGCTAAGGCAAAACACGGTTCCTTTCATGGCAACAGTCTACCTGCTTGAAGTTTCCCCTGCCTGCTGCATTTGCACTGAGTTCTCAAAACACACCCAGTGGCTGAACAGTCTGAACTGGATCACTATGCTTCAATGAACAGCAGTCATGCCAAACTGAACCAAACTGTTTCAAGGTCAGAAATCAAACAAGTGTTCCCAACTAAACCATAACTGCAAGAGGCAGCTTTTAAATAGAGATCTCTCTTATTCTCCTATGGGTTGTATGTTGGTATCTACTCGGTTCAGTCACACCGTGTACTCTTCTGCGCTCTACGCTGTCTCAATTTTACCACCAGAGGAGCAGAGAAAAATGACAGAGAGAAAAAATAATAAACATCTGGGTAAGACTGTGGGAACAGGTGCACAAGAGGCGAAAGCTCAGTGAAAATAATCTCTAACCGACATACTCAATCTCAGCAGATCAACGACTGATCTTGATAGAATAACTTTGCCCATTAGTGAGAACAGCTGTGCTTTGGCATCAATCATTGGAGGGACGGTTTACTGCAGTAAGAGGTCTTGAAACTACCCATCCACTCGTTTTTGGGATCCAGATTCAGGGTGGGGCACATTCGCCTCAGATGCGGGCTTTAATTACAGCACTAACCGCAGAAAAGTTCACATTTTTTAATCAAGTTAAACACAGCGCTTGTCATATTTGCCTCATATCACCGTAAGAGTCTGTTTTTGCTGTTTCTACCATTTAGTTTACATGTTTAATTAATCAGTAACAAAAATAATTATTCAAATAAAAAATAAAAATAAAAGCTTGTAGCACGTTGAAGGAGCTCAAACTCCTGTTGCTCGGTTTACAGAGAGATTATTCTGCTCCAGCGCGCTGCCTCAGTAAAGAGGCGGATGACTAAGTTAAGCAGAATCTATAACCATTAAGTCAATATCAACCCGGAGAGTATTAAAGCTATTAGGTTATGTATTTTCGTCCAGTTCTAAAACTCGACAACAACCAGCCTATAACGTTAAACTATTTCAACGGCATTTCTGCCTGACAACAAGGTCCTCCATGGTCTAGCAAGCACTTTGACTTTTCGTCTCTTACGAACAAAACAAACATATTTGGGACCTGACAGTGCAGTCAAACACATTACACTCTGACTTTTTTCATTTTCCTCTGACCACCTGAAATATCTCTGACCAGCTGCCCTGTTCAAACTGACTCCCTCTATGCCAGCCTGTGAAAGCTCTCTGCGATAGTAAACTAACTAACGTCTGACATTAACGGTCCTCTAGGTCAAAGAATGACATTATAAGCACTATAGGTCAAAAAATCATATGGATTAAAATGTTCATAACATGCAGTAGTTTGTGTAGCTACAGTTCCTAACAGAGTAGCTACTCTTTAACTTAAACAAAGCGAGCTGCTAGCTAGAGAGTCCTGGACTAAAGAGAACTCAATCTAAGTTAACCGTTACTGTTAGTTAATAGACAATAACAATGACAAACAAGAAACAAGCTAAATGAACTCAGCCTGTTAACTTTAGCATCTTCACTACGTTTTTTTGTTGATTTGCGATGAGGTGCTAAAGCATTTAAGTTATGTAATACATTATTTTGCATTATAACGTGCCTTGGCTAACTTAGCGATAACGTTAGTTTGTTGTGAGCTGAGGTAACATCAGCTAGCGTTAACGTCAGAGCGCTAACCGTAGCTCAGCTCGCTAACTAGCAAACTTCCAGGAAGTTTAGCTTCGCTCTGCCAATCTGACAGTTAAAGAAACCGTGACAAAAAGCACTCGCCACGGCGTTTAAGGAACTCCCGGCGTGTTAACCTACGGGTTAGAAAGAAAAGCCTTTACCTTCTGCTTTGAGGGAAGTTTGCGTCGTTGTCTCCAGACGGCTCCTCGCCTTCTCCACCAGCCGCCCCGCTCTCGTCCTCCACCGTCACGTCTCCTGTTCCAGTTCCCGGGGATCCGGAGCTCTCCAGCCGCTCCATAACGGCTCCATCTCCCGCCGCCGGGGCCTCCAGATTTCTCCCGGAGAGGGAGCTCGTTTGCAAAGTCCCCGTTACACCTTTTAAAATCAACAGAAGCACAAGGGATATGCCCGCGATTCCAAACCGAAGCCCCCTTTCCATTGGGACAAGTGGCACATCAGCTAGTACGTTAGATGGGCAATCCCATACCAAAAATGCAGAGTTAATTTTAAAAGAACTACTCTAAAACAAGGCCTCTGTGCAATTTCGAAAACAAAATAAATCGATTCAAAAGATTTCCAGCGACTTTCGATTCTCTTTTCTCAGCGTAAACATGAGTCGCTGAAGCACCATGTTATTGGCTTTATAGCGCCGTTGGTCGTGCCGTGGTAACGTCGAGCCCGCCCCGTCTCCAAACACGCATTGGCCGCGCGGGGACCGACGCTCCCGGCGGTGCGAGAGCGCTGCGCTCTGATAGCTGCGAGCGCACATCAATCCGCGCAGCTCGTCTACTAAGCAGAATTTGATTGGGTGGAGCGAATGTCAGTCTGCGCGTGTGTCCCGCCCACAAAACGGAGAAGCTTATTGGCTGCTCTCCTGTCAGTCACGTCCCCAAAGGAGGGGCAGAGGCAGCGAGAGGCAGAAGCGGAGCGCAGCGTGTCCAGCCTTTCAGACGCATCAGTGGAACGAGAAGACTGATACGACCAATCAAAAGGCTCAGTCGTTTCAAAGGGGTTTTATTGGCACGTTCACGTTGGCCGCGAAAGACACAGGCAGCTGCCTATTGCTTCTCCAGCCTGTCGATCACGATAGTTTCTCTCCTGTTTAAGAAGGGCGGATGTAACTCTGACGAGCTGATCTGCATGAGGATCTAGCGAGCAGAAAACAGCTAGATGGAAAGAGCGACGTGGCCGCTCGGTCGTGAGCAAAGCGAGTTCATGTTTCCTTTTCCGGCGGGAGTTCATGAGCAGCGCGTGTAGAACAAGCGCCACTGTTTAAAAGTACAGTTACTCACTTCTCATAAGTGTGGAAGTCAAATAACCACGATAAAAACGTATATGTAAATGTTCGTGGTTTAAATGAGAGTCCGTATGGCACATGGTTTGAGTAAATGTGTAGGATACGTACATTTAAACTTGTTAAAATGATTGATTTTCAGAAAAAAAGTGCATCAAACTGTACAAAGAAAAAAGGCTGGAGAGAGCAGTAATTAAGTGCTATTAAACCGCATTTAAATAGACTTAGTAGTTCGTAAACAATGACGATGCCTGTTTTTTCTATCTTGTATTGGCAGTTTTATTTTAAAAAGTGAAGCATTCAAAAAGGTGAGATCTTAAAGATTTTGGATATTGTAGCAAACCTATTACTGTTTAAATCTGTCTTTAAACTCTGCAGGATCACGGGCATGTCTAGGCATGATTTCCAGTTAACAGCAGAGCCTTCTGCTGCCCTCTTATGGCCATTAGAGGAAAACAACTCATTATAGATAAATACATGAACCAATAGAGCAGAAGCTTATGAATAACACGAGTCTTCTCTTGATAAGCTTGAAGATCATTTACATAAAAAGATACCACAGTGAGTCTTTCTTGGTTGTTCTTTTTTTTAATGAGATTGGTCTTTACAACATTTTAGGATGCCATTCACTTAATCAAAACCCTAAAAGTCACAGTAGTACTGGTACAGAAACTTCAACATAAAGCTGGTGTGTTTAATATTACGTTACTTAAAAGTCACAGTGACTTAAAAGGAAAGTCAGACAAACATCTGTATTAACATAAGAAAGCTGAGTGGGCCTAAGGTAAGGCCTGAAGATCTGAGTTGAGCCAGGTTACCAGAAACTACAGTGCTATTTAAAATCCCTGACCACTGTCTGTTAATAGGCACATTATATAAATCATACAAATTCAGTCAAAATTCAGCTGACTGATGATTCTGGCTGACTGAGGTTTCACCACTGTTACCTAATGACAGCTACTCACCCAGGAACTGTATACAGAGCTGCCAAGCATGTCTTCAGCAACTCTTGGGCACTGATCAAAGCTCTAACCTCCAAAGTACTGCATCACTCTTTAAGAAACTGCATTAGAAGTACAAACCTGCTGTTTCATTAGCAGTGTTGGTATTAGTAACTAGGTGAACCAAATCACTTGATGTCAACATTTTCCCCCCAAATTTGAGCAGAAATGATCAGTCTGACATGAACAGAAACTACATTAATGGTGGCCCCAGAACTAAAACTGTATGTACCATTTGATTATTTTGATATAAAAATTAACATTGTTTACACAGATCATAATGGGTGGAACAGCCAACTGAAAACTGAGGTAAAAATCTGGAACAAATTGACAATTAAATGCAATCTATCAATTCTAGATACTAGAAAATACCGTAAATCAAAGTTTATATCCAAGTGGCACAAAAAAAGTATCCGTGCACCTTTAAGTAGTATTTACCCGCAGTGTTAGTTCTATATTTAGCAAATCTCACATCTCTTTCATGCTTTGGTTCAATTTAACAAAAAAGATGAGTGAGTTTTAAAATAGAAGGCAACAGCAAATCAACAGGAAGATGTATGAGGCACAGGTCAAAATACATCAAGCAATGGTTTTCAAATGAACATGTTTGGAGAAATGCATAAATGACAGCAATCATAATGTGTTGAAAATCACAAAAGGCAGACAGACACTAAGGGCACAAACCAAGCCTAGTCCTACACAAAAAGTATTTTCAATCACTGATGACTAATTTAGTCCAAGACTATGCTTAATCCCTGTCCGACAATGCAGCTCTAGTTGGTCTAGAGGACAAAGGAAAAGTAACAGGATGGTGAACAACACAGAGGAAAACAAAATAAAGAAAAAAATAACATTTGACCCCCTGATGATGGCGAGTGTGTATAAGTCTGCTTTTCATACACACAAGCCTTCATGAGAGAACAGGAAATGTTGTGGTTGCGTGTCTCTCTCCCAGCAGGAGCTGTTGTTATTCCCTGTAGACGGCACTGTACGAGCTGCACGAGTATGTACTCCACTGGCACTTGTGGTGTCAGGCTGGTCTTTGCAGCAGGAGAGAAAAGCTTTCTCTTTCAGTTAACAGGAGGGTCTCTGATCTTCACACTTCCATCTTCCATCCCAAAGTAAACCCGCTCAGCCATTCCTACAAACAGCCCGGTCTCTACCACACCTAGAGATACACACACACACACACACACACACACACACACACACACACACACACACACACACACACACACACACAATAGCAATAGGTTTCCACAGACTTTCTGAATATTTTATAACAATTAAATGAATGTGCACTAAAAAAGGTTGCAAATTTTACAGCTGGCAGCTCATTTTATGTAGACTGCATTGCACTGTATAACTTTTCCATAGCTTACTCATAAGGGCGAAAACTTAGACTGATTTTTAATATATTTTCAATAAATGGTTATCATTCTTGTCTCATGAGAGGCATGTGATGAAAAGTCCTGCTTCATGATCAGGTTCAAGTTGGAAGCCAACATACAGAAATTGAATGTGTGCACTTACAATTAATTACTGTCAAAAATACTGCAAACTGTGGCTAGGGCCAAGTCTCCTTTCATTCGTTTGATTTCAGCTTGTTTTTTTTTTGTTTTGTTTTTTTTAAATCCCATCTCTTCATTTACTTCGACGGCTGCCTTCCTCAGCTCTCGTTTACTGTTCAAATACCTCAAACTCAGCCTCCCAGCTGATCAGGGATCAGGAGTTATGATACTGCTGCAGTTACGAAGCCCCAACAGACTGAATAATTTGACGCTAGCTGCAGACGAAGACTCCTCCGCGGATCGCCACTGCTAACTTGCTAACGGCCTACATCTTAAAGTTTCTGGATGAAACTTACGACTATGAAATTTGGCTCCACATTACATTCATCAATCTTCTTACATATCATGTATTCTCCATACGACTGCATGTGCCAAATGACGACATCCATACCGTGACGGTTTGGAACGAATATACGTACCGTGACACCTTTTGTGACTGCCCATAATTCGTTGCATCATTTCAAAAAGAGACCTTTTGGATGAAAACCTGAAAACTGGCTGTTTGTCAAAGTGAATACGCATTTAAACACCACATCAAATAGAAGGATATAAGAGAACTGACCTGGGATCATTTTGATGGCAGTGTTGACCTCTTTCCAGTTCTGAGCATGCTCAAATTTCCAGTCCAGGATAAAGTTGCTGTTATCAGTCACCACAGGGCCCTGAAGCAGTACATGGAAGTGAGTGAATGTCACTGTCACCCATACAGTCTTTTGTAACAGATAACAGCAGAACTATCAATTCCTACGCTCCCAAGCCTACAGAAAATGGATACACATTCACATACTGCTGCTCACTCCTGAGCATAGCAGGATAGATACATAGTTCTGCTCATAGATGTACAAACTCCTGGCTGAATATAAAATATTTACAATTTTAAAATTGCATGATCACCCAAAACATCTTCCTATTTAGCAATGGAGCTCAGATGACAACGCTATTCATTATTGCACAAATTTGCAAATATTATATCAATAATTATAACTGAAAATATATAGTCAACAGTTTCCATAGCCGTGTCAAAAGTTTACATATCCTTGGTTCTTATTATCATGTATTTCCTTAATGAACAGCAGTGACAGTTTACAGCCTTTTGTGACAGTTAAGACTGAGTGCTTTTATTTTCTCAGATGGTAAAGCTGCCCACTCTTCTTGGCAAAAAGCCTCCAGGTCCTGTAAATTCTTTGGTTGTGCTGCATGTACTGCACATCTGAGTTCTCCCCAAAATGGCTCAATAATGTTGTGCAACAATGCACAAAAATTGATTTTTTTTCTGGCAACTACCATGCAGTCCATATCTGTTTAGACATCTCCTTACTGTACATTCTGAAACAGACATACCACTTTGTTTCAGAGAACACTGTATTTGAGTAGAAGTTGCTCGTGGGTTTTTCTTTGCATCTCACACAATTTTGCTGGTGGTTATCTCAGAAATCTTTTTCAGGCTACCTGATCTTAGCTTGATATCCACAGAACCTCTGATTTTCTACTTCTTAATCGGACTTGGAATACACCTGATTGTCATTTTCAAATATTTTTCTAGCTGAATTTTTTTAAGTTGTTTTTTGCTTTCCCCATATTTTAGTAACCAAATTCAGCGCACACCAAATGCACAAGGTTTTACAGTGATCTCATTGTACTAGCATGAATATAAAGAGGCCCCAAAATACAAGGGTATGTAAACTTTTGACTGTGTAATTTCAATTATTATCATGATCAATTTAATACATGGAAATTTCTCTCATGATGACTAGCTTAATCTGAGCAAAACTATTAATAAAATATGTTTTGTATGATCATTCACATTAAAAAAAGGAAATATATTTTGAACTCAACCAGGGGTATGTAATCTTATGAGCAGAACTGTATGTGAAAACTGCACAGTTGTTCCAGGAGTTTGGGTTAAAAGAACGTTGTGTCTGAATCAAGGTCAGTGTAGGGGGAGAAACTCCGACAGATAACCCTTTGGGAACTACAGAAGTTGCTCAGAAGTAGTCGTTAAACATCAACTTTTCAACTTGTAAAACAAGTATTATCAACGTGAGATACTTTTTTGTGTAAAAGTGGAACATTTTGAGCATTTTTAACACTGGGCCATCAGCAACAACTCCAAGTAGTTAGTGTTTCAAGTAGGCCTGCAACTAGATTATTTCTATAATCGATTCATCTATTAACACCAACTATTACTGAATTATAATCTATTCTAATTATGAATGTCTTCTATGGTGTAAACAAATAAAAGAAGCCATACTGGCCCCAACCCTATAGGAAGCGTTCTGTAATCTGTCTGAATCACATATATGCAACAGTGCTGTCAAAGTTTACATGTTCATTTTTGACTCTTTAGAGTATCTGTAGTTGCAGCCTGAACTGCTGTCGCACTGTATGGTGCTACAGCTGATTCTGTGACTGTAGCCCTCTCATTCAGTGGTCAATGCAAGCTAAAAAGTTAGCTTTCTCAATCTCACAAGCAGGCTAGCTACCTTATCAACTAACCCACAAGCTTCATAATGATTTAAATTTTGCCTTCCCATTCAAACCACGTTAAATACATCCAAACAAAAGGCTTCCCACCAAATCTTCACTGTGAAGAGTTACGTATAAAATCAGACATTGATTATTTTGTAAACCGTCATGGATTCAAAAAAGAAAAGGAGAGACATTCTTGACCCCTCTGCCTTGGGTGCAAGTTATATTTGGCCTTCACAATGCAGCAGCCGCACTGATTTGCAACAAGCTGAAATCTGAACACTTTTGGCCATGTGGCGAGGCAGATTTTGCTGCAGCGCAGCCCATCAAGTTCCACATAATGTGGCAGAGCTCTCCACTGAAATTAACAGGATACCACAGAGTGGAAAGCTACAGTCCAAAGTGGAAAGCTACAATTATTCTTAAAACAATGTAGCAGTATGACAGCAAGAAAGCTAGAATCACAGGAACTAGAACATGTAGCCACGGTTGCTCTCACTAGACATCAGTAAACAGTTTAGTTTTATTACACTATTTTCATGTTCACCCTATGGAAATCATGTGATTCTAATGTCCAGCATTCACAGGATGAAAATTAGTGAATTACTGAAACTAATAACTACTTTTTAATAAAGCTTATTTTTTCCCCACTCATATAGTTTTAACAAAACTTTTAAATTAAAAGAAAAATATTTTTAGTGTACAATTTAACCAAATAACACAATTCAGCACAATTATAGCCTACATAATATGCAATTAATCAAATAAATTAATTAAATCATTTTATACCTTAATATGCAAACAACAGATGACAATTTTTTTCATAATCAGCATTGCTGACTACATCAATTAATCATTGCAGTCCTTGTTTCAAGGCACAAAAAGTCAAGCTGTACCACCAGAGACTGCACCACCTCTCATCCATAAAGCTGCATGGAGAGGGATTCACTCTCCGATCACCTGAGATTGATCGCCTTCCAATCAATCAGGCCCAGTCTGTGTACACAGCTGATCACAGTAGGATTTTCCCCTCCTATTCTCATTCCAAAGGCCATCAGTGGAATTAATTGGCATCGGCAGACATGCTCTCTCACCGCTTTACTGACGGCCATTCTCAGCACAGCTTCTCCTCCGAAGCGGCGGGCGATGGCCCTGGACACAGGCACATAGGCCATGGGGATCACTTCAACTGGCACACCTTTCTTCCACTGCTGCCCCAGCGCCCTCGAGTCCTTCCTGTCCACACAGAAAAACACCCGTCACACACTGCTTAGCGCTAGTGTGTGGATGTGAATAAAGCATACATTCAATGTAACCCTGTCTCTTAGACACTAAGCAACACTGACAGCATGCCTGATACAGTGTATTGATCAGCATTTAAAATGCAGGACCTGTCAATTTCCACTGCATTTCTCCAGAGACGGACAGACAAAACACACACACACACACACACACACACACACACACACACACACACACACACACTTGTTTACCTGTAGTCAGCAATGACAATGAAGTGTTTGGCACAGCCAGCTACAATTTTCTCCTGAGTCAAGCATCCTCTGAAGTGGTGGTGAGAGGTAAAAAAAACAAGAAGACCTTTTATTTGATAAACAACAAAAACTTTTTCACATCCTTTTGATTTAAAGCTACATAAGTTTTAGTGATCTCTTTCTGGTGGAAGAGCATTTCGTAACATTGGTTGTGCTTCATGCTCCTGCCTTGAGTGGATTAATAAGCATTCAAAGAGAGCTCAATCAAAACTTGGTGATTCAATAATCTTCTTTATCATCATATCTTCATCAGCATAATGGTGATTTTGCAGTTGAGACCTAAAGATTGAGCCAGACCTTCTTTTTGAGCCTGGGCATGTGGTGTTTAACATGTAAATGGTCCGAATATGACGTGGTCCAAAATTTCTGCGAAATCCAACCCCACGCCTTAGACTTTTAAATTATTTTAGTGTGTGTTTTCTTCCTTGACTAACACTACTTTTTATTTTTAAATAAAAACAATAAATAAATAAATAAATCTTATAGTGACGCTTTATAAATTGTCTTTGTTGTCAGCCAGATAAAATGATACTACTCCTTTAATGATACTTTAGCAAAAAATAAAAAATAAAAACAAACTTTGCCTAAATGTTCATCAGCCAAGACAAAAACTGACATATCTAGAAACAGCAATAGCAGACACCCTAAGGCCTGAATTGTGTCCGTTTTTAAAGATGACATTATGTCATACAGTGTCTATTTGATAGGGCATAACATGATACTCATATGTGTCACATGAAAATGCACTGTTCTCTTCACTGCTACTTTTCAGAACTATTGCAGCAACTTCAGCAGCTGTAAACTATTTGCAAGCCACTTCACGTCTCAGATCTCAACTGAACGAGGAATGAAGGGTTTCCAACATGATGGGTAAGCCAGTTTCACACAAAATGCAGATGAACACACAAATCCACCAATTACACATGGTGAGAGACTGATGACATGTTTTTCAACCCCTATTTACAGCCTCATAACTCCGGATGTGAGTCTGGATGATCTCACAATAAGACTGAATCGAAAGAGCAGACTCTCTGAATTATGTTTTTGAGCTGTATTATGGCAAAGACACACTGTCAGAAATAAAGGTACAAACGATGTAAAAAAAAGTTTTAAGGTTCATTTGCCTTCCGCCCGATGACAGCTGGGATAGGCTCCAGCACCCCACCGCGACCCGGAAGGATAAGAGGTTTAGATGATGGATGGATGGATGGATGGTTAATTTATGCATCTTAAGTAAGATACACATTAGTAAGATATATTTGTACCATTTCATAACCTAACGTTTTAAAACAGTACAATAAAATAAAAAGCCTGGAGACGAGACGGTGTGTGTGGAGTTACTACAACTTAGAAAACAATTTCAATGGATTATGGTACAATTATGTTCCCTGACTAAAGGTACTGAGATGTACCCTTGAGGGCACCACCCCAGTGACACGAGGGGTACTGCCCCAGTGACAGTTTCATACCTTTATTTCTGAGAGTGTAAAGAAAAATATACAGAAACACTGAATTTGACACACAGGTGAGTTCATGGACCCCCAGAGAATTAAAAACCCAGCACAGTTTGAGGCACGTTTGTGATGATTAAGGCATGCAGTTCGAACTACGTTAACTGGTGAATTTCCATTACTTATTAGCTACATTATCCAGGTACCTCCAGTGCAAAACTAAAGAATCAAACCTTTGACCACAGACATGTCTTGGCTGATCAAGTATATTTGAAGTAAGGGGGAAACTGGTTAAATGACAACTTCTTTAAGAATTTTAAATGAACAGGACAATCAACATTATGATAAAAAATAGGGGATACACAATCATAAACAGCCAAGAAGAGAATCAGCAGATTGGCCAATTTATAATTTTTAGTTTTGCTGATCTGTGTTGAATTTCACTGATGTAATCAACATTAGGCAGGTAAGTGCACTTATATTTGAATGCTGCTGCTACACCTGTACAAAAATGTCCTAACATAATTATGCATGACTCATTGTGCTAAATCTCCAGTTGCCTCTCACTTTCAATGGAGTGCTTCATTTGAGTCATGTTATTTGACATGGCTAACAGAAAGTGCTGGAAATGTGCTAGTGTGTTTCATGTGTTCATTTAGCTCACGTACTGTGACTTTGGGCTAAAAAGTCTAATATAAATTGGCCATTGGCCATTTCGACTGTAAAGACATCAGAATCTGGGCTAGAAATTCATTATTGGCGCATCCCTAAAATGCAGTTAGCAAAGATCACATGGTGAACTGAGCAAGCACGTCCTTGGCTAACAGATGGTCTCGTCCTCCTTACCCGCCTCCCTTAATAAGAGTGAGCGAAGCATCCACCTCGTCAGCTCCATCAATCGCTACATCCAGCTAACAGACAACACACAGACAAGTCATTTTCTCATTTGCAGATCAAACATTTTGAAGCACTTTTCTACATTTATAGCAAATTGTTGTTGTGTCTAAATGCAGGCTGGTATATAGGAATGGCTGGCACTTGGGGGGTGCGGAACAAGACCGCAACAACATGCTACTCAGTAACACAATCCCAATCCCAACCTCTAAACTCCACATTTTTTTGGTAGACGCATTTGAAATCCAGACAAAATCCTTTTTAAAAAATATGTGAGAGTGAAAAGATTTTCCTATGCTCTGGCAAAGGAGATATACTCAAAAAACACATTTGGAACCAAATAAAGAACCAGAATCAAGAAATTAATCTAAATGCTGACAAGTCTGTGTTATGATTAACTGACCTCTGGGTGTCTGTCTAGATCTGACAGAGAGAGGCCGTGTTGGAGGATCAGCTGACGAGCCTGATAAAAAGAACAGACAGAACATCGCCCTCTTCATCACTATTATCAGACAGATCAATGCGAACAACTGCTTCTGAGGAACACCCTCACATACACTTACCTGGAAGGACGTGGGAACACATACAATGTTCAGCTTCTCCTGCCTGACTCTCTCAGCTGCAACATAAAGAATTACAGTATTTACCTTCACGTAAGAGCCTATTATCTCTTACATACATGCAGTAAAGCTTACCCAGCCTGTCCACAGCGTAGACTATAGTGGAGCCACTTCCCACTCCGACCACCTGGTTATTCTGTTGGAGAAAGAAGAGCAGCAGTACTGTCAAGGGCGTTCCTTAAGATTCTGATTTTATCTGTGGATTATTTTAAAGCATTCCTACTCACTCTTATACAATACAAACAACAGAAATAGTACAACACAAATAGGGATGCAACAATATGGAGATCATGGGTCAATGCAAATATCCAATACTTTCATCTACATGTCTGCTGATGCTGCTATATAAAGATTTACCTGGATTTGCATTACAGATAAATAACTTTTTTTCTGTAGGGCAATAAATGCTGTATAATAAATAAAATGTAGAAATTTTGGTAGAGTTACCAAGTGTCACCTAAAAGTTCTGCTCCTGAGTACAATAAATACATCAACTACTTATTTGAAATACCACCCAAATCTAAACATATGTCTGATTACACTTTTTAAGCGATACAATATGAATATCAGTATTGCTCATCTTTAAACACAATTTATATAACAATCTCATAGTGAATTCAGAAAAGTACTAAAAATTCATAGTAGGGATAAGCAATTACAGTTTATCACAGTATGTTTTTCTGAGCTTATTGTGGATATGAGCACTTAAACACTGACTAACGCCATAGTTCATTACAAAGTGAGCATAATTAGGCCTGTTTAATTGGAATTATTACAGTGAAACATTGAATAAGTCATTATAGTTGTATAATTATTATCAATTGTATTATTATTATTAATATTATTATTATTATTATTATTATTATAGTATTCTTATATGTGGCCTACAGGCTCTAGTTTGTCTGTTCCAACTTATTAAATCGCAGGAAAACAAAGATGGTGATGCATATCGTGGAAATGTCCTTAAGTATTGTGATTATATTTTTTTACCCTATTGCCCACCCCAGTACATAGTTTACTACTAAAAACTAGTGTAAAACAATATTAACCTCTCAGGTTTCCTACACAAAGGCGATAATACTATAGACCGTTACAGAAATAACCTTATTACTGTACAGCGCTAAAGGAGCTCGTAGTTTCTTACGGTTTTAACCAGCTACAACAGATTTTTTCGTAAGTTAGCTAAAGTAGTACAAATTCAATAAAACAGAATTTTATTCTACAGCAACATTACAGTACTATTTCACAAAGGCACAGATTAAGCTCTTTCCAAAAAGCGTTAATCTCACACAGTTTAAATTTAGCATTATTATGTCATCTAACTTTTTCTTACAAGGTTAACTGGGGATCCTGAAGCGCTTCAGCTAACGTTAACGTTATATGAGCGACAGGGTTAGCCCGCTGGCTAACATTAGCCAAACTTGCCTTTTCAACGAGGCTGAATTTGGCTTCCTATTGGCCGGATTCTTGTTCGGATGTTCCGTTCCACCTTAAACGGTGCAGCAATTACAGTCTGGAGCCTTAGGCGCCTGAATGTAAGTGCTGCACCGTTTAAGGTGGAACGGGAAAATTGGAACACGATGCAGACTTCAGCTTCGCCCTTTTCACGTGTTTATGGCGAGTTTAACGGCAGCAAGACGGCTGCAAAGTAGTGAAAATAAATGACCAGTTAAACAAAGGTTTCAGTTGATAACTAAAGAATAAATTCAGTTAGGCTAATTTAAAAGTGAGTGGCTGGCGTAACGTTACTGCTTAAGCTTAAGTCAAACTCGAGTCACCCGTTAACAGTGCTGGGGAACTGGGGTGCTTTAGTTAAACAACTTGCTAGCTATCCACGATAAAAGTAAAGGCAGAACAAGTAAGCTAATGTAAATGCAGCTGTTTACGTTGGCTAGCAAGTAGCATCCTGAAATGCTCATACACGCAGCTAAGCAGCCTCACCTGTATGTGGTTGTCCACAGCAGCGTACGCCGCCAGTTTCTTCGCCTCTTCTGCCATCACCGCGCTGGAGCTGCGACTGCGGAACCCAAACACGTGTCTCCAGGGCTGTGGATGTGAAGAGGAGGGCCGCCGCTTTCCACACAGAGACACCAGGAACGGAGCTTTCAGACTGAGCTCGGCCCACCTCTGCACCCTCATCACCCACCCAGCTCTTCAGCAGGAGGAGACGCACACACGTAGCCAAGCGCAAACACCGCTCCTGTCTTTGGGTAAGTTTGCTATTAGAGCCTTATTTATACGGCTGTCAAAACCTAACGTCACGCATGTTAAATCCAGGTGGCGAGAATAAATATTTCGAGCCAACATAAAACGCGCAGGCGCTTTCCTTAGTAGTTCACGTTGATAGACGTGCTGTGGAGCCAATAGGACGAAAAGAGCAGAGCTGTGAGCAGAATTGGGTTAATGCTCATCACCGCCACTAGAGGTCGTACTTTCATCTCTCAACGAGACCCGCATAAAAATACTGCGACCAGGGTGATTTGAACGGTAAGTAAGGGGGATGAATGAATGGATGAAAGAATGACTGAATTAATAAAATAAGTAAATAAATAAATAAGACAAATAATCACCGCCCTTTTTGAGACTTACACATTAAGTTGCCGTTTATATGGAAAATGTACCAAAGGCCATGAAAAAAACACTAAAAAAAAACACTATGTCATCGCAGGATTGTCACAAACTGTTCATGTTCATAGTCAGATGCAGCTAATGACCCAACACAGGTTCTAATGAATGATTTCAGTGCAGTTTCAAAAAAATCAAAAAGTGATGATGTTTGTAACAGCGTCTCTTCTGGGTCTCTCATTTGCCACCTTGCATGGAAATCGCTGTCTGTGTTCTATTTACAGTACTTTGCAAATGTCAGAGACCACCCTTCACTTATCCTTCACCCTTCATTTAAAACATATATTTAACAGAAAAGTACACGTAAGTCTTAACAACTAATATAAAAATCAGTATTTAGTAGGGTGTCCATCCTTTAAATACAGCTCCCATTCTTTTTGAGAGATTCCTTTCAGTTTTGCAAGGATATTTTTCCACACCTCCAAGGTTTAATCTGCAAAGTTGGTTGCATTTTCTGTTTCTCACAATCAAATGAATCCCTGAAACATACAGTGATGTTGAGGTCTGGAGGTCTTATTTTTTGTCTGTTTCTCAGTAAGGGCTTCCCAACAGCTACCCATCCTTTCAGACTCATAGTGTTGAGTTGTCTTCTCCTCTCTCTCAAAGATGAAAGTTTTAAGGGTTGTTTATCTGGTGGTCACCATCTGGGTGGTCTACCAGGTCATACATGGTTGTTAGGTGTCACCCTGAATCATCAGTTTTTCTTTCTTGCCCTTTGACTTTCCACTTCCTTATGTTTGTGGATTCTCTTATATCTCCTCATAAAAATATCCTGAGAAATTAACAACTTAATGACGGCTTTGACTGGAAGTTACATAAATGAAAAGTGCTCTCCAAGTTTTGCTCAGTATCATATTTTTTGCTGTTTTGCTTTGAAATCCATCCATCTTCTAAGCCACTTATCTTTCTGGGTTGCGGAGGGTGCCGGAGCCTATCTCATCATTAATCGGGCGGAAGGCAGCAAACACACTGGACAGGTCACCAGTCCATCACAGGGCAGACACACAGACATGTACATTCACACACACATACCCTTAGGGGCAATTCAGCATCTCCAACTTGTCTGACTGCATGTCCCACGCACACATGGGGAGAACATGCCGGGCCTCTCTTGCTACCTAATGTGCCACCGTGCTGCCTGTCTGCCTTGTAATAATCTATTTTACATTTTTAAATCTATTTTTCCTCTCTAAGCCAATCTGTTTAGTATAATAAGATCAGTAGAATCTGTATAAAGAATTTTAGGACATTGCCAACACATAAAATCCTGAGAATTACAAACTGAATCACATCCTGACCTCACAAAATGAAAATCAGATTTAAAATGTTTCTCATTGCACCCATAGTTACACTGTGACCACTGTCTGTGTCCTGAATAATAACCCAGAAGATTTTTTTCCAATATTAAAAAAAAAAAAATTAAAAAAAGGCTTAAGAGAAGTGCATAACACATTACCACCTACAAATAACACTGATAAAAAACCAGACAAGTATCAATATAACTCTTTATTTGGCAACCAGCTTGAAATGATCTAGTTTTCAGTGTATAGCATTACTCTTTTCAAAATCACACAGTCCTTTTGATAAACATTTATCTTATTTTTACATATTGCAGTTTACAAATTTAGCTTATCTGCTTGACAAAATTATTTTGACAATGAATTTGTATGTGTTATATAAAAATCTACACATTATACATTCATTATTAGAAGAAGAATTTTTTTTTCTTTTTTTTTGTTGAAACAATATTAAACCAGCACAGAACATAACTGTCAACATATCCAATCCAGGTAAGAAGAATAACAAAATAAAGCTGAATACTTCAATATTACAGTCAAATACTGAGAGAGAAGTCCAATGATGTACAGGGAGGAGTTTTTTTTTTTGTTTGTTTTTTTGTTTTTTGTTTTTTTTTTTTACACCAGAGGGCACAGCTCCAGACTACTTATGATACTGTCACAGTCTCAGAGGAGATAAAGAGAGAGGAAAGAGAGAGGTGGGAATGAAACTCACTGAGTAGTGCAGCTTTGAGAAACTAATTGACTAAACATCAACAAGAAAAAAAAACAATAAATTTGGATACCACTCTCTCTCTTTCTCTCATGTCGTCTTAAAGCTTAGGAGGAGATGAATCCAATTCTAGCCGCCTTTTTTGCCCTGCTTTCTGCACTCAGTGCAGCCGTAAGCCTTTATCTGCTATGTTTTTCTGACCAGTGTCTAACATTCCCTTTCAATTTCCTCCTTTTTAACTTGCACTGTATGTCCAAAAGTATCCACCCCTTCTAATTAGTGAATTCAGCTATTTTAAGGTGTACCCATGGCTGACACAGGTGTTCAGGTATGCAAACACAGCCTGTATAATCTCCACAGAAAAGCATTGACCAGTAGAATGGGACACTCTAGAGCAGCAACACAAGCCCAATGGCAAGCGTCAGCTAGAGGGGCACTAAAACCCTCAAGCATTGGACTGTGAAGCCATTCTCTAAAGTGATGAAGGTAATACTTTATTTGAATAGCCCACCATAGATGCTCATTAAACCCTGGCTCTAATCATAACCCTACCCTTAACTTCAACCAAAACCTAAACCCAAACCTCTCCCTGATACTAATACTAAACTCAAGCCTAAAGCTGTTGAGAATCTACAGATAATTTATTAATAATTTAAACATTTATAGATAATCTATCAGGGGCTATCCAAATAAACTGAGACCGTGATGAAGCCTGATCCAATACCTTTGGAATGAGTTGGAGTGGTGATTATGATCCAGAACTAATCGTCCAATATTCGTACCTGACCTCACTAATGCTCTTGTAGCTGAATGCAATCAAATCCTCACAGCAATCCTTCAAACATCTAGTGCAAAGCCCTACCAGAAGAGTAGAGGCTGTCACTGCAGCAAAGGGGTACAAACTCCCTGTTTTAGCTCACCTCTATTCCTCTCAGCCTGAATCTCTGTATGCTCACAGCTCTGATTTGTTTAGTGTTTCTCCTTCTTTGATTAAACCCAGAATTAGCTTTATAACTAACTGCAGGTTCAGTTTGTTAAAGCAGGCAAGAAAATTACAAAACCCTGCAGTGCTGCAAGCGTAGAGAAATTCAGTTAGACAATATACTCTCTCACTCTCTTTCTCTCTCTATCATCTGGGGCCTGTCTCTTTTTCTCTGTCACTTAATCTCTCTGTCTCTCTTTTCTCTCTCTCTGTCTGGGTCTCTCTCTCTTTTCTCTCTGTCTGTCTCTCTTTCTCTCAGTATTAGTAGCACAGTTCTAAGAGCTTTGTTTGGGTAGTTTAGGATTTGAGTATGATTCAGCAATGCTGGTAAAGGGGATGTGATGACGTTTAAAACAGTCTGACTTCAAGATACATTTTTGAGCACTTAAAAATTGTTATATTGCTATAACAAATCAAAAGAGATCACTGATTGAAGTCATCTGTGAAGAGCCTGTTAGCTGTCCAGAGTAGAGACACATTTTGAAAAGGCTGTATGTTTGTGTACAAAAACTGGCACTTCTAAGACATTCCTTCAATGATCCCTCTTGATTTATCACTTTTAAATGCCTTTTCTGTTTTGAATTGTAAAAAATAAAACGTTTTGGTATCTTATAAAAGCCATGCTTTATTAATTCCACCATATCCGGTGTGAAGTAGGGCCAGAATTGAGTGCATGTGAGCCAGCATGCTAGTCTGTTTATAAGCACATGCCTATACGTATTTGTGTTTATATGTTTGTGTGTGTGCTTGTTTGGTTACATTTGAGATCGGAGACAGTTGTGGTGTTCTGTAATGTGCAAAGCTTAAATGGCAATATGTTCATTCCGCAGTTGAGTAAGGTCTGTGGGAAATAGCTCTTCCTTGACTTTAATCTGGACGCGGCAACCCGTATCCCTGAAGCATCGTCGCTAACATTACATTCTGAATATGTCACCATGTATCCAAACTAGAAATATATCAACCTCAAAAGAAATGTCTCTCTTAGAAATATCTAAAATATTCATATTCTATAACACTGTATTGCTATGAGACACAGTATCCAAGCAGGGTGCAAGTGTTCTTTTGGTCTGTGCTGACTTCATCAGTACTCATTAGCAATGATGCGCACTGCGATGCGCTGGAATGTCTATGATACACACAGTTTGACTTCACTCGATGTATGAACTGATGAGAGGATGGGATACACAGAGGGTTAGCTGGTTTGTTTTGCGTGTGTGAGTGGTCAGCATCAAAGAGGTATTGCTACAGATAGATCCACTCCACTCTCTTGTTCAGTGACCTGTCATGCGGCATCAGAAACGCAGAGAGAAGAGCCAAACGGTCAACACGCTCGTTTAACGTTGGTGTGACTCGACAACTCGACTCCACTGCATGTGCATTTGTATGTGTACTTGTGTGATGGTTTCAGAAATCAAGTGCTTGGTCCATGTCATGAACAAACCAAAGACAGAAGCTTTGGCATGGGAAAAACATGAGAGAAGCGATGACTGACCAAAGTCAGAGGTCAAACAGTCAGACAGGAGTACAGTCTGCCTTCATTATTATCTATATTAATCTCTCTCTTTGTCGCTCAGTCTCTCTCTCTCTCTCTCTCTCTCTCTCTCTCTCTCTCAGTTTCAGTGCTTCACCAGAATGCCTGCTGTTCAACACTAGAATCAGTCTGTTTTTCCTCCCAGAGTTTTGCATTTCAGAAATACAATTCCCAGAGTCCTTTTCTTGGAGGTGCAATGTGCGTGTGTTTACATGTGCTGTGCGTCCATGATGTCCAGGTATTTTGCGTCAATGATCCTGGGCAGCAGACAATTCCTGAGGCAATTAAAATGCAGTCAGTTACACCACCCAACAAGAATCAACAGACAAACTCTAGCAGATCTAACAGCCTATGACTATGTACCGTGGCCCCAAAAGCTATTTGGACATTTGTGACATACTTAAAAATGTATTTTACTTGATTGTGTGAGCAACAAAATGTCAAAAAGTTATTTATTTAGACTGATCACTTCAAGACTGTAATTTCTTTTAGGTAAAGTATTCTTTTAAAAGGAGGCTGGTCTTTTTCAGATCATTATCATTTTAACAGTTTAAGGTTTGCATCAAAAATGCATCATGAGTAAAAACAAGCTCATCAATGTCACTGTAAGAAAAAACAGCCTCAGACTCATCTCTGCCTCTTTGTTGTACAGTGGCCTTAGTGCAGTCAAGGTTGGAGTTCAAGGATTTTGTTCTAAAACACTTTACAGACCACTTACCAGTGGGATATACACATACAAGAAATATCGATGCTATGATTAATATGACCTTGATAAAAGAAAAAAAAAATATATAATATCATATATGTGCCTTCTGTTATTATTTTCAAAAACTCATCAGATCCAAAATTTTTACCAACTAATTTCCAGCATTTAAGAATGAAACTCTTCAGTTCTTCTCTAGACTTTCTCAACACAGACTTTACATCAGTTTTATATTAAAAAGTGTTTTTTTCCAAAACAAATACCATTTTGTTAAACACCTAAAAACATACAATTCTTGAATGCATAAAGCGTCCAAATAATTCTGGAGGGCCCTGTGTGTGTGAATGTGTGCATGCATGTGTAATATAGGCTAAGACATTCAACATGACAAACCTGATAGGTATGAGGATAAACATTAGCAGAGGGAAGATCATTTTCATGTACGGGAGAGGGTACATCCCGAACGCACAGAGGAACAGCAGCTGCACCATCTGAAGGAAAGTGAAGTAATGGATTTTCCTCTGCGGCACCTTCCGGATATAGTGAGTGGGAGGATAGGATGTCTGAGAGAGACACACAGAGAGAGTAAAAGAGGGTAGACAAAGAAAGACAAAAAGCAAGAGCGAGATAGAAAGAGTAAGAGAGAGAGAGAGAGAGAGAGAGAGAGAGAGAGAGAGAGAGAGGGGTTATGAGCAAAGGCACGTCTTGTACTGAAGAGATATAAATTCAAAAAATACAAGAATAAACCTTGGTGCAAGTGAGAGCACAGCCAGTCAAACTCTGCTGTGTACCAAATTAGCCCACTGAGACCCCCTGAGGAGGTTTGATTCCAAGTGAACTCTGTTGTGGTTCATTAAGTAAGAGCACAATACAGACCATAAACATCTGTAAGGGGCAAAAAAGGATGAACCCTCTGTCGCTTTGCATCATACTTGTTTGACACCCGATGCTGTTTTAATAGATGTGTTTTATCATCTCTTCATGAGCTATTAATTGGTAATTATAAAATGGATAGCTCCATTTCTAAAATCTGATTGGCTGAGCCATGTTTGAAGTTGTTGTACAATACTCGATATACACACACTGCACACAGTTTTTGTATTTTGTATTAATATGCCAAGTTATTAAAGCAGAAATGAAAAATCATGAGAAGTGAAAAAGGGGACAAGTTCAAAATTCAGTCCTCTGTAGTCAGTTCCAGCAGAATCATTCCTAAGTGAACATTTTGATGATTTTAACATGAAAATTGAGGAGCATTCTGACACACTCTGAGACTTAAACTGCAAAGACTTAACTGCTGTGGAATTGTTTAGATTATCAGACTTCAGCAATTATGCAACTGCAAGTCGTGTAGAAATTTTATACAGTTTTCTAGGTATTTTGATTTATTTGTTAATCTGTTGCTTAATATGCTATGGTCAAAAGGTCAACGTGTACAGACATCATTTCAGACCCCATAACTATTGTAAACAGATAATAAAAAGGCTGCTTTTCATTTACCTTCTACTGGCTCCATAATGCCCCTGTGCTTGAAACTCAATGACTCGCTTGCAATGTAATTTGTAGGAGGTCGTTTAGATCTCATAGCCGTTACGACAGCCCACAGAAATCAAGGTGCGCTACATCAACCTCAACAAACTAAATTGAAGTTGATGTGCTAATAATGGTAATTTAACCTTTTTTGTTGCCCACAATTTGAAAGCTACTATAGAAACAAATCTGAATATATGAAAAACTGTAATATGTGCCTCTTTTCATGTTTTGGTAATATTATATTATACTTTAATTTTTTAATTATACTATATCTGTATATCTGCTGCAGTGCTGTGTTTGGAGGTAAGAATGATTCTCTCCCAGAATTCACTGCTGGCAGCAGACCCTCCTTCATAAAAGTAAAAACTCTTCAAATCTACACACTTGAATACTTGAATACACACTTACTTGAATGGCATGTTCAGCCTTCAAAATGGCAAACTTTGCCACAAGGCAATGAATTTGCTTTAATGTCAAAACTGTTGTGTTGTTCATGGTGATCCTTGATTGTTGTGTTGCTTAGCAACCACATGCTACTGTAAATGAGCTACATTTCTTGGTGGAAGAAATGTTTATTGTAATTTTATTATATTAAGTTATTTATCAAATTCACATGTATTTAATAATATTTTGTCAGCAGTTAATAAAAGCAATAAGCCACTTGTGGCCATGTGCTACAGTGATTGTACTCTACTTCACTTTTCTGCATTAGTCTAACAACACCTCTTAACTGTGGTAAAACCACAGTAGGAGTGTAACACTACAATGGCCCCTCATGGCTTTCACAGCATCCATGGTGGATGAATGTTATATTTAAATAATATCTAGAATGCCTCAATGGTGGTAGTAATTACAGTATATCATTTAAAAATGTAATAACTTATTGTTGTTCCTAAAATACGTTAAATAGGCAATAAAGCATCTCAAAACACAACCCCATTTCCAAAAATGTTGGGACGCTATGCAAAATGTAAATAAAAACAGAACGCAATGACGTGCAAATCATTTAATTATATTATAATTATATTTAATTGAAAATAGTACAAAGATAACATATCAAATGTTAGAACTGAGAAATGTTTATTGTTTTTTGAAAAATATATGTTCATTTTAAATTCTTAAATTCTTTCTTCTGTGAAAGACTGTGTGGGCAAATAGTGTAATAAATCGAGAATAACGTTTCTCAACATAAAAAGTCAAAGAACTTTGAGTTTTTATCATCTACTGTTCTTAATTATTAAAAGATTCAGAGAATCCAAAAAAATCTCTGTGTGCAAGGGATGATCTTCGGGCCCTCGTGTGGCACTGCATCAAAAACAGACAAGATTCTATGGTGGAAATCACTGCATGTGCTCAGGAACACTTCCAAAAACCACTGTCTTTTGCAGCGTGTCGCTGCATCCACAAATGCAAGTGAAAACGCTACCATGCAAAGAAGAAACTATATAGACACAAGATCAACAAACGCCACCACCTTCTCTGGGCCTAAGCTCATTTAAAATAGACTAAGGTGAAGTGGAAAAGTGTCAGACGAATCAAAATTTGATAAAACTTTTTTTGGAAATCGTGGTCGCTGCGTCCTCCAGACTAAAGAGGAGAAGGACCATCCAGCTTTTTATCAGCGCACAGTTCCAAAGCCAGCATCTAAGGACCATCCAGCTGACGTCTTTTTCAGGGCAGGCGATGCTTATTAAAGCATGACAATGCCAAAACACATTCTGCACGTATAACAACAGTGTGGCTCAACAGAAAAAGAGTCCAGGTGCTGAACTGGCCTGTCTGTAGTCCAGACCTGTTAATCATTGAAAACATTTGCTGAAATCCTATAACAAGCAAGAATGGGAAAACATTTCACTTTAAAACGACAGCAATTGGTCTCCTCAGTTCCACAACACTCACAAGAGTTTTGTTAAAAGAGGATGTGATGCAACACAGTGGTAAACATGCCTCTGCCCCAATTTAAAAAAAATGTGTTGCTGACATCAAATTCAAAATGGGCATATATATTTTCAAAAAACAGTTTCTGCATTTGATATATTGTCTTTGTACTATATTTAATTATATATAGGGTTTAAATGATTTGCACATCATTGCATACTGTTTTTTTTGGCATTTTGCACAGCATTCCAGCGTTTTTGGAAACAGGGTTGTACATCTCAAAATACAAAATATATAAAATAACAGCAATTATGAATGACAGTTGATGAATGATAGTATATAATCAAAGGTTTCAAAGAAAATAAGTAAGTGAATCATCCTGACTAAAAACACTACAATGTTGAAACAGGACCACGATAGAAGCTTAGATGTTTACTATAATCCATAAGATTCCCACAGATGAACGGTAGAGGGCGCTCTTGCACCTTGCTTTTGTGTACAAGATGTAGCGATTGCTCCTTTAAACACATTCATAAAATGCCTTCTGTGAGTTTTATTTGCCCTCTCATTAGTCACAACGTGAAAGAGAGACAGTTGCTCAGAGCACTCCATCAACATAAACGCACTTGTAACTGTCCACTATATAACTGTAACATCCACATACAAATGCTCCAACACACACTCATCAGTACCTGTTCCTTGAGTAACAGTGCCATGCGGTCACACATCTGGTTGCCATCGATGGAAGTGAGGGCGATGTAGAGAAAGAGGCCGTAGAGCACAGGTTTGGGAATCCACTGCAGCGGCACAGGGAGCAGGAACACACTCACACCGATCAGGATATTAGCCACCAGCGATGTCACCCGCGTCTCCTTCACACTCACTATACTACACACACACATACACACAAATGCGACTTAATAATAATAATAATAATAATTTTAATAATAATAATAATAATAACAATAACACTGTTAAAGAAGATATAGGAGAAGAGCTCAAAATGCTTGACATCACTAAAAATGACATAAAATCAATCAAACAGAAAAAAGAAAAAGACGATGATAAAAAACAGAAAAAACAATAAAAAAAGAATGCAGCAAATAAAAGCAGAAATCAAGTAAATAAAAGTAGATAGAATACATAAAAGCAAATAAGGCAATAAAAAACAATAACTGCTGCCAAAAATGAAGCACTGTAAAAGGCAATGTTATTAAAGTGTGTTTTCACATGGATTATCATCAGTCAGTCCTGAGCAAAAGTCAGAGACCACCATTGTTATTTAATTTCCAGTCCAAATGGCTATTAGTTACAAGCTATTTTATTTATTTATTTATTCCAGAAGATATTTTTGAAGAGATTAGATAGATAATTCACTTGAATAAGGAAGCAAAATGAAAATAAGTGAAAAAACAAGAACACCAAAACTGTCTCCATCAGTTAAACAGTACTCAAGCATCAGATCAGTCCACAGGTGTTTCTGTCCATCTTTCCACTGTGAGAAGACAACTCAACACTATGTGTCTGAAAGGATGTGTAGCTGTCAAGAAGCCCTTCTTGACAAAAGAAAATAGACAAAAAAGAACATTTCCACTTGAACACAGAAACTGGATTACTCAGATGTGGAGTAAGATTTTATGGACTGATGAGTCTAAATTTATAATTGGGATTATTTGGATTGTGAGAAGCAAAAAAATGCAACCAACATTTAAGGTGTTTACAAGACGTATGGAAATATATCCCTGCAGATTTCTTTTAAAAACTTAAAAAAAAAATTTAAAATCTGCGAACCAAACAAAGAAGTTGCTGGTGTTCTCAGAGTAATGGCTGGCTTCCCCAGAGCCTAGACCTTAACATCACTGAATTCCTGGACTGAACTGTAAAAACCTCCTTGCAGATTTCTTTGAAAAACTGAAAGCAAGTCTCCCAAAAAGAACAGAAGTTATAATACTGGGGGAAAAAAAGAGTTGTCAAGGCCTCTGTGTGAATTTCCACTATATATGTTTTCTGCTTTTTTCCTCATGTTGAAAAATGAATAATTTGTACATAATGGCTGTTTAACTGGAAATTAAACAAGAGAAGGGTAACACAGTAACCTTTTAATTTTAAGGCATAATTTAGATCTAGATTAGATGTACGTGTATATAAGTTACTAGACAAAACTAGTGTCTGTCAGCTGTGTGAAAGAGCAATGCTGCCGCTGGAGAAGTAAATGTGTGTCCTCACGTCTCGTAGAGATGTCCTCCTTCCACCCGCTCCTCCACGATGGCCAGCTGCCGAACGTGCAGCGTGGAGTGAGGGAAAGCAGCATGCATCCACGGCAGGCCCAGCACCGACATCAAAATATTAATCAGGCCAGATAAAGTCAGGTCCCAGTGATATGCTGTACCCTTCAGTAACCTACAGCAACAGGACACCCACAAAAACACACATAGAAAACACACAATGGTTTACACACACACACAAAACAGATATATACACAGTCAGTTCCCAGAGATGCAGTGTACTCTTCATCACACAACACGTCAACACACAAACACACACACAGACACGCACACAAAAAATAGTTATACACAGCAGATACCATTCAACGTAGTAAAGATCATGCATTTACATGAACCCCAATGCACTGTTATTCACTGAAGCATTGTTCAGTGACCTCACACAACACACTCATGAACACATGTACACATACAGTTACCCTGAACCTTTACCAGATAAAGCAACAATAAGAAGTTATTTTTTTATAATTGCTAAGAAACATTTTCAGTACCAAGTTATCTGTGTTTAAAAACTCTTCACAGTTAGCACAACATGAACATTTTTTCTTTGCTTGAATATAGTACAACTGTATTTCCCAAAAATCTAACATTTAATGCATAATTACTGTTTATTTGCTGAATTTAACATATTGAAAAAATGTGGCCTGTTATGAAGTGTTAGAAAATGTGTTATGACACATTTTATATTTTATTTTTTCAATATGCTAACTAAAATTAGCAGAGAAAGGCCATGTTTAAGTTCCCTGAGGGGGATGTGCTAACCTATTTTAACTTCAATAAAACACGCAATTTGACCACGAGTGTTCAAACATTTCCGTACAACAGTATACATTCAGTTCAACACAAACTCCAAAATTCTTTCATTGTCTTCTCATTCTGTCTGAGCCTTTAACAAAATTGAATATTTCTAGAGCTCAAATTGCAAAAGTATGCAGACATTGTCACACAGCTGTTATACTTAACTCCAAAACTTGACAATAAAATAGGTATCAATCAGCTACATCATGAATATCAAAGCCTAAAAATTATAATGGTTATAGAGACAAACATCTGATTGAATGTACATAAACAGGTCAGTCAAAGCTGATTCTCATCTCAGCTGAAGTCCTACCCAGTGTTGACCATTTATTACATGTGATGTGAATGAGAACATGTAATCAAATGATGCAGATCAGACAGACTAATCAGTTACTGTATCTGTGACTTTTTTGCTAGATAATGTAAAGTACTGATTTTTTCATTTTAGCCACTTAGTAAAGATTTGACATTCTGTTTTGTAATGATTTGTAATGTAATTTCTGAAAAAAACCCTATACTTTGTTTACACAATAAATGTAAAAAATGAATTAACCTACTACCTCATAGATGTACATGAAACAGTGGATCTACCTTAAAACCAACAGTTACTGTTAGTGTTAGTTAAGTGACTTTGCTGGATTGTATTCTTTTTGGAAGAACACTACTGTTGTTTTGACATAATGAGTTTATTTTTGTGTGTTTACAGAGCTTCTTGGTAGCTGAAGAGCATTTTGGACGATTAGGCCTCTGCAGCTCATCCAGAATGCAGCAGCACAGCTTGTCTTCAATCTTCCTCAGTTCACTCATGTCACTTAACTGCTGTGCTCCCTTCACTGGCTTCCTGTAGCTGCCCACATCAGATTTAAAACCCTGATGCTTGCCTACAAAGCCAAAAACAGACCAGCCCCTCCCCACCTAATGGCAATGGTCGAAACTCCAACTGTACCTTGAGCCTTTCGAGCTTCAAGTACAGCTCGGCTTGACCCGCCATCCTTCAAGATGCATGAAAGACAAGCATCAAGACTCTTTTCTGTCCTGGCACCCAGGTGGTGGAACAAACTCCCACTGGCTGTCCAAACAGCAGACCCTCTCACAGTCTTTAAACGCAGACTGAAGACACATCTCTATTTACAGCACTTAAGTGAGCATTAATATAAGTAGTTATTGGAATATTTTGTATTGCATTATGTCTAATTCTACATAGGTTTTTGTTTCTAGCAATATCTGAGCTCAGGAGTAGCTTTTATTCTAACTAATTTGTACTAGATACATTCTCTTGGTGGACAGCAAAACACTTTTGTAAGTCTCTCTGGATAAGAGCATCTGCTAAATGCTGTAAATGTAAATTTTGGTTATAAAATGAATTGGTATGCTGAGTTGCATGTTTCTGCAGAGAGATGTGTGAAGACCTTTGAAAACGTGAACTTGGTACTCAGAAATGCTTGTTAGCAATTGTAAAAAGATCTTACACAATATGAAGCATATTTCCCATTATGCTAACACAGTGGCTCTATCTCCTCATCTTAAGACTTCCCTCTGCTCCCACACCTCCTAACATGAACTGGGCATTGAAAACAAAACAACATGCAGGCCAGTGGAACTCCAGGACCTGGACTGAGAACCACTCTACTGATATAATTGCATTTTAGCAGTTGTTGCCTCTGCTGAAGTGACTTCACTGGCAGTTGTACCTGTTCTCTGGAGCATTGGTGAGTGAGACTACAATGTTCTGATCGATGAAGATGAGGACAGCGAGGAGTAATCCCAGGCCCATAGCACTCAGCACACTGGCTCCTGTGAGCTTTTCTAAAGGGGCCACTCGGAACACTGGACCCTCATGGTAATCAAACACTGGCACTGTAACGCAAATATCAAAAACAATCACAATACTGAGCACAATCCAGACTGTTTAGACACGCTTTGGATGAAATGACTTGACAACACAGACGCGATCTCTATAAATTAAGTGATGCAATCGCAAATTCATTAACCCCAGTAGTTGCAGTCATCACATGGTGTAATTCGATATTAATTATTTCTCGCTCAAGGCTCAGTGAAACAAGAGGATAAAATTTTGTTGGTAATGCAGAATCTTCCACAGATGAAGAGATATTTTGTTATTGTTGGGATCCGATGAAAAATGACTGTTGCATGTACAGTCTTGCTTTGAGAAAAGAAATGTAAAGAATGTTTGTCATTTCTTGACATCAGAACAAACAGAAAAAAGTGGTATTTGCAGGTTCAAACCTAATGCAAATTGTGCATTAAATTGTGTATCAAATGTCAATATAATTCATTATGCAACTCAATGTAATGGATATGTAATTATGTAATTACATTTAAACAGTATAGAACAGAAAAGCAATACCTCTTGAATGAAAATGGCTAAAGATCAGCAACATCTTTCTATGTATGTGTCTGTGTATGTTTATACTTTATATATATGTGTGTGTGTCTACAGAGTGGCACCACTTACAGCCAATATCGTTGAAGACGTAGGAGCCTACGTAGGAGAAGACGAGCACAGAGATGGGCAGAGCACAGTCTGACAGAATCTCCCTCATCTTGGCATGCAGGAAGGGACTGCACACATCAATTAGTGTATCAAAACACATCTCACTACCAGGCCTACCTGTATGTGTGTTTATTTACGTGTGTATGTTCTTTACCTCCTCTTAAACTGGTAGAGTGTGTATCCCACCCACAGGGTTCCCAGCATGAGGAGCAGGCAGAGCAGCGGCCGTGCTCGTGTGCACAGAATGAAGGATTCTGGGAGGGTCCCGGTCAAGTTCATATCCCCTACAGGCATGACTCTGATTATTCGATTCAACTCCTCTATGCTGCCATTGGCCAGTGTTGGCGCATGGTAGTATTTATGGAAGACTGGAAGAAAGTTATTGTAATAGTTAATGAAAGTTGTGCACATGGGAATGTATTTACACATACACTGCTTGTCAAGTTTGACTTCTTTTAAAAATTGAATTGTGTGATTTTTCAGTTAAGCAAGAACAAATACTTATATTTTAGGTACATTTTGCTCATGAAAGTGTCATCCTGGGGATGAAGAGCAGGCTTGGTCTAAATAATGATTTGAGAATTTTCTTCTCCAAAATATTGTTAAAAGCTCCAAGTTATAACGGTTTGGTCCAAAGGTGCTTTAAACATCTGAAAAGCTTGAGTGCTGATGAGTGACAACACAAAAAGAGGTGAATTGTGTGGGGTATGGTATTATAACCATGACGGTACACAACAAGATTAGAGTTTTTGCAAAGAAAATGGTAAGATTTAAAAAGCTGTCTGTTTAATATGTTAAACTATTGCAAATAGACACAGAGAATTTGCTAATTTATCAAAACCATTTTAATAAGCTAGGAGTCCCAAAACCTTTTAACTACTAATGCATGATTGGAATTGGCCAAGATGGGCATTAGCAGCTTTTTGCTCCAAACATGCAATCAGCAATTTTCTGACATAAATAACATAAGCCATCTAAGTGCACTTGTGGTGTATTTGAATGTTGCTGCTTCACTTATACTGAAATGTTGTAGCATAATTATACATGACTCATTGTACTAAACAGCCAGTTACCTCTTACTTTCAATGTAGTACTTTTTTGATTCTTTTTATGAAAACAGGCAACTGATCTTTCATTTAAGAATTTAAAATGCCAGTTTCTCGCTTTAAAGAGCAAATAATGTTCAACTTTCAAGTAAAAACACTCACAAGAATCAGCCAAAACATTGGCTAATCTGACTGTACAGAAATTAGAATCAATCATAAACATTTTGAATTGGTGCACTGCTACTTTTAACTGGTAATGTGTGCATGTATGCATACAACCAAATGACAGAGAGAGAAAGACCTACTCTTCACAGTGCCTTTGACAGCATCTGCTACAAAAGCAATCGAAATGAACAGAGCTATCACCTCTTCTATCGACCTGTGGGCACAAACAGAAAAACATGTATCAGTCATCCAGGGGTGTGATGTGTTGTGGTGTATGTGGTATATGTGGTGTGAGCCTGACCTCTTGAAGAGCTTAACGAGTAGGCTGAGGTTAAAGACACCTCCAATGATAAGGAATAAGCTGTTCCACAGACCAATGCAGGCATAGAATGCAGCAAAGTCCAGTTCATAATCATCGCAGATCCCCCTGATTACTGTAAACACACAAGCATGAATTTATGGTAATTGAGAAACACATCAATTAGCATAAAAATTAAATAACTGTCTCGAATACACAAAGAACCTTTTCTTCAGTCTTGGTACTGTCTGTGTGTTATACCGAGTTTATCAATATGTACAGTTCAGTTCATAAGTATTTAGACACTGCAGGCAAGACTGATGGCAAAGGCTATGAAACAAGCCGGAAATGAAAATGGCTGCTTTACAGGACTGCTAAAAAAAAAAAAATGAGACGAGAACGTTCTTCCCATCTGGTGGTGTCTATGTGCAAAATAGTGTTGTGTAGTGTTAGGAGCCTACTCTATATGACAGTTTTATTATGTTCAACGGCCCACTTACTGATTTTTTTTTTTTTTGGGAGTAAATCAAAATTTTAACTTCAAATTAAAGTTAACAGTCTGTACTTTGACCTCACAGTCATTACTTCATTTCAAATCTAATGTGATGCAGCACAGAAACAACACTGTACAAAAGTACTGTACAAAATTGAGAGACCACTCTTACAATTATTTAATTTCCTTCTGCAGCAGCAAAAAAAGCACATATCATATCATACAGACCACTTTCAAGAACTTTCTTTTTTGTATGATATATGTCGCTGGGAGTGGGCTTCACACATATACTAAAAACATCAGGACTATGTTATGATTAATATCACCTTTATAAGAGAAAAAAATGATTGTTTTGAATTATATGTCAGCTGTTATTCTATTAAAAATGTGTTATATCTTGAATTGTCACAAATGGATATACAACATTTTGCAATGAAACTCTTCATACATTTAACAGAAAATTACATAGAAGCCTCAACAACTAAATATAGTATTAACATTTTCAGCACATAGTGTCCATCTTAGTCCTTTGTTACAACTTACATTCTTTTGGGAGACTTGCTTTCAGTTCTTTAAAGAAATTCACAACTCCAAAGTTCAGTCTTAGAGGTTGGTTGCATTCTCTGCTTCTCATGATCCATGTAATCTCAATTATAAATTCAAAAAGGTTAATCCACGAAACCTTCTCCACCTTCAGTCTGAATGCAAATTGTGTTCTGCGTTTGTTTGTTTCCTGTTCTCAGTAAGGGCTTCTTGACAGCTACACATTCATTTCACACTTATAGTGCTGAGTTGTCTTCTCACAGTGGAAGGATGGACAGAAACACTTGTGGATTTTTTCAGATCTGAAGTAAGCGTTGAGCTTGATTTTCACCTCTTTCTCAAAGATGAAAGCTTTAAGTACTGTTTACCTGATGGTGACAGTTTTGGTGGTCTACTAGGTCTTGCACAGTTATTAGGAGCCCCATTTTCTTTGTATCTTTTAACCATTTTTTGAACTCCAGTTTTGGAAACTGTTTTTTCACTTACTTTCCTTTGACCTTTTGCAAGTGGATCAGCTGATATTTAATCTCCTCAGAAATATCTTCTGAAGAATAAATAAGTGGTACTTAATGGTCCCTTTGCATGGAAATTAAATAAACAATAGCGTGTTCTCTGACTTGTGCATAGTACTGTATACAGAAAATATTGTATAATGTGTTGTTTTGTTAATTTTCTTATGTGAATGTTTGTGTGTTTGTCAACTCAGAAAATTAAAAATGTAATCACAAAAAACTCACTCCAAATATTTCCCAAAAAGCCAGAGAATTCTCTCAGGCATTTCCATATGTTCATCAAGAGAAACCCACAAGCATGGCTGTCTGATTGGGAAGAGCCATCGTTACAGATGGATTCACATCCTGGTTTGTGTTTTTGTCCTGGTTAGCATATATTTTCCAAACAAAATCTTGCCTCATCCCAGCGAAACGATTTTTCACGACAAACCTCCTCCAGATGACAGCATGTGATTGCAGCCACAGGAATTAGCTTTAGGGAGACTCACTCTTAGCCAGGGCAAACATCAAAACTTGCCCAAACAAACGGCAGCCATGTTGGCCTGTCAGACTCCCTTTCTATGGCATGTTGTGGCCATCAGAGCTCTAATTCCACACTCAGCCTCATTAGTCACTCAGAGAGCTAAATAAACAGCTCTCCTACAAATGTGATAAGTGCGAACATGTGTGAGAAAGTGTGTGTGTGTAGCAGCCTTCATATGTGTTTGGATGTGTGGATGTGTGGGTTAGCGTTGTTGAAAAGCATGTGTGTGTGTGTGTGCGTGTGTGTGTGCATGTGTGGAATAATTATCCATAAAGGTCTCCATATTGTACTGTAGTGTTGACCACTTATGCACGACTGGACAACTAATGCGTGAGATTTGGCCTTTTTAATTTGAACTCATGGGCTTATATATAAAGATTAATAAAGAATAATTACATACCACTGATGAAGATGGCGATGGGTGCTGTAGTTAGGGGGATGACCAGAGGGGAACCAGCACACAGAGAATAGATGATTCCGCCTATACTCTGCCCAATAATCGTCTTCTGAACATCTAATATACATAGATAAAAGATAAAGATACTACAGATTACTACAGTATATTTTCTATTATTAAAATTACACATAAATGAAAAATTGCACATCAATACCAAATATCATCAATATTTCAATGAAATTAGAATGAAAGTAGAACAAAGTATTTGTGGAGCTTGAGCACATTTTGTCTATAATGCATATAAAGAAGAATACTGAGCAAGAGACCTACTTATCACACCTAACCATCATGTGAAACCAGTCCATAATGTCGGTCTCTGAAACGAAACTGAATAATACTAAAATATTATTGACCCCCAAATTAATTGAGTATTCTAATTATTCACAGTATTACAACTTTGTACACATCCATACTTGTTCTAATTACATCATCAGTGGACTGTCCCATGTATTTGCATTATGATTTGGTTTGGTACCTCGAGCCTCGGGGTCTGAGACCCCACGAGGCTGTCAGAGGCTCCTGGGCACTGGTCCAAATGGCCAAGTCAGTAATCCATCCCTGCTTATTAAATATGACACAGCGGTGTGTGTGTGTGTGTGTGTGTGTGTGAGAGAGAGTTTTTCTGTGTGAGAATGACATGCAAGTGTTTGTGTGTCTTCACCTATTTCTCCTCTTGTACTCTCATCATTGAGTGAGCCGAATGCGATGGCAGGGCAGCAGAACAGCGATGTAGAGGAAGATGGACGTTGTCATGTATTTCACTAGTGCTTTATTGTTTCCCACTATGCCTGAAAAAACACACATACACACACACACACACACACACATTAGAGATCTGCTACCCAAACCTGACAGTGCCCAACAAAATAATGGGTTCCAAGCTGGGCTTAGGGCAATATTTGACGTGCAACATAGCTCTCAGGACAGACTAATGAGAGATCTAAAGAGTGATTTTTATGTAGTAGATTTCAAACACTCTATGTCACTTCTCTGTCTCTTTCACTCACTCTCTCACACGTGTGATCATGCTTTCTCTCTTTTGCTCTCTCTTGTAATGTAGTCTATAGCTCTGGTTGGAATAGCTCTGGAGTATGAGGAGTGGACGAAGGGGAGGGGAATGTGTTGGGTTGGTGGAAAGGTCACAGCATGCAAGAAGTATAAATGCTATATTAAGATTAACACCAGATTTATTAGAGAAATAAATGTGTTTTCCATTATATGTTAGCTATTGCATTATATGCTAGCTATGTTATTCTTTTAAAAAACCGATATCCATAATTGTTACAAATGGATATATAGCATTTTGGAAATTAAACTCTTCGATTACTGTCCCATGTCTGCAATAATCCATGTCTGCGTGCGAGCAGGTTTGGGTCAGATTCAGGGTTCAAATTCGGTAGTACCATTTAGGCCTGGTCTCAAAGAAATAGTGTGGCGAAAAATCTAATTAGCATGAATTATCACTTATCCCAGATGCAGTCGATCAGGCCAAGACATGTTTGAAATCTGACATGTGGTTCTTTAGTGTACGATGGGAGATGCTAGGCTATCGTTGCCAACAAACACTGGACTTAGACCGTCAACAATCTCATCTCAGTTCATACATACCAAAATCTTCCTTTATTTTCTTAAACAATCCATTGAAAACCTAGAGAAACAAGTCTTAAAAAAGTAATGCAGTAAAATGATATGGACAGACCTTATCTAAACATTTAAGCTAAAATTGGAACTACAATATCATCCACATACTGTCTCGCTTTGTAGTTCTACTCCACTTTCAAACTGGACCACAAGGAGCGTGTTATATGTCACTACGCAGGTATTACTTTTTTAGCACAGCTAAGACTTCACAACTGTGAGACAGCTAGAAGTTGCATCTGGAATAATGATAAAGCAAGAAAATGAGGTGTTGCGTTGCATTTTGTACAAACAGTAAAAGAACAAAGAAATAGTAGTCCGATATGTTACCCAATTCCCTCCCTAATGATGCAGAAACATGCAAACTGTGGTTTTTGGCAATGAACCATTAATTAACAAGAGCGCTGGTCAGTAAAAGTATTGTGCAAAATTTCTGTGTATGAAGTGATTATTTTACACCTGACGATTACAAGGATGGTTGCGAGCAGGATGTTCTAAAATCTACAGCTGTTTCAACTTCTATGGATGAGAAGTGAATTTGAGGTAAGCTTTGTTTACTTTTTATCTGTCGCTGCCGTCTGTTTTGTGCTCCCCTAGCTACTGTAATGCCTTATGCAGCTAACACGCTTTAAAATTTTGTTTTATGCAGTTTGACTGTAGAAATAAATAAGCACATCTTTACCATCTTCAATGCTGATTTGTTCAAGTGCTGGCATCAAAGGTGCAGTGTACAATTTCAATCCAATTTATTTTTCATCAAGTTCAGAAAATATCTCCTCACAGTCCACTAGGTCTCTGTTCTGTTTACTCGCAAGAAAAATATCCAGGGTTCGTACACAGCCCTGGGTCTGTAAAAGGGAAATAAATAAGTGTCTCGGGCCAAGACACACAACACTATTCCAGCCAATCAGCGATGAGGCATTTGTACTCATGCACAGAGCACGGGAAGGAGAGAGGCTATGTGCTGAACTTCATGCAGTGTCAAAAAGGAGAGATGGCCGAGAAACAGCCAAAGACGAGAAGATCTGAAGAGCAAAGATTAAGAAAGAAGTTCTAAGATCAGGTAAGGACGTTTTAACAGTGGCGAGACCTCAGAGAAGAGGAGTGACCTCTGATAGTTGATGAGGTTGAAGCTTCCTATTAGCATTTTACTGTTGCTGCACGACTTAAGGTGAAACGGGAAAATTCATATAAGAAGCTGGCGAAAATGACTTCAGCTTCATTGAGGGTTAAAAGGCATGAAAATGGATGAGGAAGTTGCTCCTGCTTGACAGGTGGCTTACATTAACTTATTTTTGCTGTTTCAAAGAATCAATAATTCAATACTGTTCTGTCCTGTTTGCTAATGTTTGTGACAGTAATGTAGTGACAGTTTGCTAACCTACAACTTAGCTAACGTTAGTTACATTACTTGCTGTGTGGCTGTTCGCTCTAACATTATATCACGGTTTTCATCCATACAGCGTCTATGAAGGGTTTTACAGTCACGAAGATCTAAAAAAACAAGTTTGCCAGCCCAGTGTCATTTGCCCTGGCAATGCATGTCCATGAATTTGCGGTGCGGAGCTTCTGAAGGAACACTGAAGGGACGGGTGTATTTCCAATTTCCAATCTCCAGAATCATATACAGCACCTTCCATAACTTCCACTCTGGGCATCACTTGGCACACCCATTTCCTGTCTTTTGACCTGAGTCGCAGGTATGTCCGGCGAGTCACTGGTGGGTCCAGCATCCAGCTGACGCATTTCTTCATTTGTACACTCTGATTTAAACAGATACAACTGAGGCTTGTTTGTGCTGATAATCTTGTCAAAATTGTAATCAGACAAGAACACTAGCTTAGCTTCTCCGCCAAGTTACGTAAAAGTGGTTCTGGTTACTCACAATCGCTGCCCAACCATTCATGAGAAGTTTATTTTTGTTTTTATGAACTAAAGTAAAATATACCATGTTCTACACCACATCAGCGAATTAAACAAATGAAGATCTCAATGCGTTTTCAGCAGGCTGAGAGAGGTTTTGAGGATGCATTTACAAAGATGAGTTTGGTGACAGTCTAAGTCCAGTGTTTGTTAGAAACGTTAGCCTAGCATCTCCTGTTGTAAACTAAAGAAACACACGTCAGATTTCAAACACGTCTTGGTTGATCGACTGCATCTGGGCTAAGTGATAAATCACATTAATCAAATTATTCCTTTTAAGTTGCAGGTATGGGTTGAGTACAGGCTTTAATTTAATAGCCATGCAGACCAAAAAACATAGCTATAAAACAATTTATCCATTATACATCAGTTGTGTGTGTATTTCTAAATCCTCTTACCATCAGTAAAGTCAGATGGATAGAAGGGAAGTCGGCGACATAGATCCTCATAGATGCCTCTGCCCACTCTGAAAAAATCTCTACACTACAGAGAGAGAGAGGAAGAGAGCACAGTTAAACACACACATATACAAACTGAGAGCAACATACACAAATATACTGTAGTGGGAAAGGCACAAGATTAAAACACACAAGCACATAGATCGGTAATCGCACACACACGCATATGCACAAGACACCTGCAGAATCACAAGCAAAAATACAAACAAAGCTGCACACATGCTAACAGAACAGTTCACACTGCAGAAGGGAGAAATACAGAGTTAAAGCGAGCAAATGCACGCAAATGCACAAACGCGCACACATTCACGCACAGTCATACCAACCAGACACACTCTCTCTCTCTCTCTCACACACACACACATACACACACATCCAGACTGTCACACACACTCACATACAGAAGCGCAGTTGAATCTCACTCACACAGAGCCCCCTGCACAGCAGAGAGAGAGACACAAGGTGAGCAGAGACTGCAGACTGGAGAGAGAGACAGCCCAGCGTTAGAAAACCCCCACTACAATGTCACTACAAGGTTAGAGCAGAACAGGATTAGCAGAAACACTACAATGCAATGTTGATCAAAACCTATCCGATCACTCGACGGAACATAGGCGTTAATCAATGCTGCATCGAAATTAAAGTCACTCGAGCATCACAAGAAGAGCATTACTATCAAGCCCAGATCTGAAAAATATGCATCCTACACTGTATATCCAAAAGTATCCAGACACCCTTCCTGATTAGTGGTTTCAACGACTTTACTGCACCCTTTGCTGACACAGCTTGTATAATCTCCACAGAAAGTGACCGCCAGTAGAATGAGATGTTCTGGAGCTGCCACACACAAGCCTAAGGTCATCATGCCTAATGTCAAGCGTCAGCTGGAGGAGTATAAAGCCTCCCCAGTACCGGGCAGTGGAGCAATGAAACTGCATTCTCTGGAGTGACTGAGCTCCATTCAATATATTTGTAATGATTTAGATCTTTTTCTATTGTTTCCAGTGGGAGAGATGAGTTTTGCAAACTGCTTTCTGCATGCTCCATGCACAGCTGTGTTTTGTGTGGAGTGCTCCAGGTACCCTGAGTTGCTCTTGGGGCTAAGTGCAATCAGATCCCCACAGCAATGTTCCAACATCTAGTGTAAAGCCTACCGAGAAGTATAGAGGCTGTTACTGCAGCAAAAGGGTGACAAACACTATTAATACGTTTGATTTCATAAGAAAGGTGTCTACAAACTTTTGGACATATAATGTATGTTCTTCAATTGGCACATAATGAAAATCAAAGTCCTTTCTAGGAAAGATTGTAAGTACAGTTTTAAGTGTCTTGGAAAGGAAAAAAAGATCAAGCAGAATTACTCCAGTATTAACTGCTTTTACAGGTCAATTTCTGGCACGAAGGCAGTTTGTTTGTGTTATATTAGTGACTTGTATTGACCTCTTTTTGGCAGAGAGACATTCTTTAGTGTGAAATTCCATTAACATAGAGAGCAACACTTAAATAAAGCCAAACAGGTTTTAGACTTCATTACAACCTATACATAATGAACTCATTTATCATAACAGTGTGTGCCTGTATATGTGTGTAAGAGAAAGAGTGGGGAGGGAGAGAGTGAGAGAGTGAGGGAATGGAGAAAGATCTTTCTTGTGTCTGTTTGTCTGTGATAAATCGCCCTTGGTACGCTCATGCCCGCCGATACACATTTGCACGTACACACACACACACATACACTCACACACACCCAAAGTAACGATCCTCCACCTGTTTACCATTCGTCAGATGTGTGATGGAGTGAAAAAAAGATAAAACAAAAACAGAACTATTTGGCCCCCTGCTCCCCTTTTTATAGAGAAACAGAGAAAGGGCTTTTACGAGCGGGAAACCTCAGCCACGGTGGTCTAACGGTGGGGGTGTGGGTGTAAGTGAGAGTGTGTGTGTATGTGTGTCTGTGTATGTGTTAAACAAGAGCAACAAACAAGATAAATTCTCATTAGCTGATACACGCTCCGCAGAAGACAATCACTGGTGTGTCACTTGAAAAGTCAAGTCACAGTGTAAGTGTGCGAGAGAGGGAGAGGGGGAGAGAGAGAGAGAGAGAGAACAACAGAAACAATAAAAATTAGGGAAGGAAGACAAAAAATAAATATACCATACTGTACAAAAGTCAGAGACCACCTTTCATTTATTTCATTTCCAGTTTAAACAGCCATTAATTACAAGTTATTTGTTTTTCTGGAGTAATTTTAAAGAAGATGATCCACTTGCATAAGGAAGGATAAAGTCAAAGGAAAATAAGTGAAAAAAAACAGGAGTTTCCAAAACTGATGTTCAAAAAATCATTAAAAGGTAGAGAGAAAATGGGATTGCGAACAACCATGCAAGACCTGGCAGACCACCAAAACTGTCACCATCAGATAAACAGTACTTAAAGCTTTCATCTTTGAGAGAGAGGAGAAGATCAAGCTCCAGATCTGAAAAAATTCACAGGAGTTTCTGCCCATTCTTCCACTGTGAGAAGACAACTCAACACTATGAGTCTGAAAAGATGTGTAGCTGTCAAGAAGCCTTTACTGAGAAAAGGAAATCAGCATCAGTGAATGTATTTGGGATTACTTGGATAGTGAAAAGCAGAAAATGCAACCAACTTCTAAGACTGAACTTTGGAGGTGTGAAAAAAAATGCTGTAGATTACTTAGAAAAACAAAAGGCTAGTTTCCTGAAAATTGAAGCTATGATAACACTTTACTTAAGGGCAGCATTAGGCTACACAACTGACATTTATAAAGGCTTATTCCAACAAGCCCCAGTCGTCATAACACATTCTGAGATGAAATGACATTAAAACAGACAGCCTTTATGCACAACTGACAGTTGTTGTAATAATCCTTTGTAAAAGTTAGTATAGGTTTATGCCATTTGTCATGAAATTCTTACATAGGTGTCATGTACCCTTATGAATGTAGCCCTTCAGTAAAATGTTACCAAAGCTGTAATAAGAGCAAAGAGTAGATACCCTAAATACTGAAATTATTAAATACTATTTAGTTGCTTTAGTACTACTTCTTTGCAATCAACATAAAATATATGTTTGCTTGGCTTTTTTGTACACAAATGCATAACTTGTACTTGGCTGTTTTCACTGGAAATTAAATAAACAAAAGGTAATCTGACTTCTACACAGTGTTGTAGATGCATTAGATTATGAATGAGTAAGTCTTAAAACGACCTTGGAAACTTATGATGAATGTGTGTAGAAACACACAAACACACACATCTACACCCACACACCTTGAGTGGCTTGTGACTGTGTGGGTCAGTCTCCTCCTCCTCCACAGTGGTAGTTTTGCGCTTGGCTGCGGTCAGGTGATACCTCTGAATGACCAGTGCCTCCTTAAACTCCTCCTGAGTCTTACTCTCTAGTAGCTTCTGCCTGAAGGAGATGTCTGAAAACATACTTGCAAATGTCCGGCCCAACTCCATCGCTGTCTTAGTGCTTTTCTGGAGAAGGAGAGAAGAGGAGAGAAGAGAGAGAAAATTAATAGCTGAAAAGAAGTGTGATGGACAGAACATGCTGACACGAACAGTTCAGCATGACTGAAAAAGCTGGAGGTTAGATAGACTCATCATTATCATAAAAAAATAATTTTCTATTCCTTCTACTACATTAGAATTCTCGGTTACATGTTACATAACCAAATTAACTAAGGACAATTCAAAATATGCCAAGGCAATTGTTTGAGAGTGCTTTAATAATTCCTGTAATTAAACATTAGGTTCAGTGAGCTTTTCAGTTCCTCTGAGAGCATATGAGTAACAGAAATGTGCAATTTAATTCCTCTGGATTACATCTAAGCGTAAGTACATTTAGTTTTGAAGTTACATAATGTTTGTTTTGCTTCACTTTAATACAGACAACGTGCAGAGAGATGAATCTGTAAAAGCAAGCAATCCTGCTTTACTGAGTAAGTGAGTGTACAGATGTGCCTGTGTGTGTGTGTGTGTGTGTGTGTGTATGTGTGTGTGTGTTTGTGGCATTTGCAGGGCAGACTGGCAAATATAGAGGAGAAAGAGACTGAAATGATTACAGTAAGATCTAAACACATGCACACAAACACACAGATTTACAGTATAAATATAGTTATGAGGAGAGAAGGAGGCTTTATGAGGGTACAGTGTAATGAAGATACATTTACATGTGAGTTTGAGCTTCGACGTGATAGTTGGTGAGCTGTTAGTTAGGATAAGAGCTCGTGAGAGAGTGTGTGTGTGTGTGTGTCGCGGGGCGGGGGGAGTCGGCAGGGAAGCAGTTATTTTACCATTTTAAGAGGTGCCAGTATGAGGATGACATAACGGACTTCCGCACAGTTCTCTCCCCAGTTCTGAGGCCGGTCCAGCCGAGAGATACATACATGCCGCCTCTGCAGGTTCTTCACGTTACAACTGTTGGAGGCAACAGAACGTCAGACAGAGAAAACTTTCATTCAGCATGTATGCATATATACAACAACCAGCACTACAACATAAAATCAGTTTGAAAAATTACGAGATCAAACACTCCCCAATGCATTAAAGCATGTCTAATCGTCTCTGAAGAAATACACATGATCAGTTGTTTGAAGGCAAAGACCAACTGATTAAACAAGTGGAATCAGATGTGCTTCCGCCTGTTTAGTATGAAAACCTGCAGCCACACTAGCCCTTTGTGAAGAAGACTGGAAAGCCCAGCATTAAAGTACTAAATTAGTAGTAATAGGATTCAGGAAATTTAATAATAAAGCTGAATATAATCACCATAAACTGAACATTAGTTTAGCAGAATCTACATCACTATTTGCACTGCAAAAGAATTATACTTATGATATACACAGTTGCACTGATATGGGAATTGTGGGTCGACCTTGATATCCAATATTTTCATCTTTTATTTTCATTCGTCTGCCGATGCTGACACTGTATAAATTTGAGACTATAATATAAATATTGAGACTAAATCCACCTTGACTGGCAATACAGAGAAATATAACATTTATTTGTAGAGGGTTACAAATGTGGTAAAATAAAAAAAAAAATTCAGATATCTTATCAGGTTGAAATGTCTAAACCTCTGTCTGATGCCAATCATTTTATTTTATTATCTGCCTATAACGATACGGTTTTGATATCTTTGTGCATCCCTAATGACTTACACTGAAATTAACAGTCTATATATATCAGAGATGGGTGGTAACTTGTATGGCATGGGCCCACTTTTCAAAAAGCACAAGAGTGTTGTGATGTGGCGAGAAAGTTAAAAGTTTTACAAGTATCTTTGTGCTATGCCTTATTAGGTAAATGAGCCTTTTTTGTAAAATTATGCCCTTCGCATGTCAGATAAAATAAAGCCAATATGAATTAAATGCACACTGTTATAATACATAAATATGAAAATAAACATTTTTATGTATCATTGCTGTCATATCAAAACCTTGTGTCTATTTAATGACAACTTTACAGAAGAATGAAAACCCAAATTGACGTCTTAACATTAACATATTTTAATATTAGTAGTTTTGGACCATTTCTATTGATACAGTCATCATGAAATGTTCAAATCATATTGTAATGGACAGCTGATGCTTCCAAATTATGTAATAAGGTCTTGATAAAACAGTGATGATACACAATATTAAAACAGTAGCGCATAAATATTTTTAAGCATTTAAAAAAAAAATAAGGCACTCTATTTCAGTGCAATTAAAGGTTTGTAGTGGACTCACAGGATGCAGAGCCAGGACTGCTGGTACTGGATGCCCGTGGCAGTAGCTGTCACACACTGCAGCGTCTCTGACAACAGGTGCACTGTGTGGTGGGAAAGGGTTTGGGGTTAAACCAGGAGAGGGGGCTGATTGAGGTTTGAGACAGGTGACTGGGGCAAAGGCTTAGGAACATGCAGGGTCAGATGAGGAAAAGATTTACAGAACAAAAATGAGTCATGAGTAGTTCAGCTGGGTCTCCTATCCTCCAGGAAAGCCAGCTGATAGAGAGAAACAAGTCAAAAATAAAATCACATGCAATAAAAAAAGAAACATTAGTCATTTATCACATTACACTTGATGAAAAGGTCAATGCAGACCATGGCATGAAAGAAGAAGCAGCAAGGCATCAGAGGCCAATGCACAACACTGCAGCCCAAGTGAGTGACAATGAAGACCTTTCCGAGGACAGCGGCAAATGTTTAATTCAAATTAATCAATCTATGTGAGTGTGCGAGTGTGTGCCCTGTCCTCTGTCTTACGGAGGTACGGGCTGCCTAGCATACTAAGCGAGAGGGCTATGAGAGCATGTGTGTGTGTGTGTGTGTGTGTCCTCTGGCAGAGGTGACAGGTGTGAGCTGTTCAGCATGGCCGGCAGGAACAGTGCGAGTGTGTGTGCATGTGCCTGTGCGCGTGTGTATGTGTGCGGACTGTTTAGCGAGCAGGATGGATGTCTCTGGCACACAGTCACACTGTCTCATCAATAAGACATCACACACTCACATCCAGGACTGATGGGTATCACCATGACAACACACTCAGTACCATCGAGAAAGAGGAAAAGAGGGAGAAAGAAAAAGAGCAGGAGAAAGTAAGAATGGAAGAGCGAGAACGATAAATAGAGAGATGGACAGGGCAGGAGACAGGACGAATGTGAGGACTGCATCTCTTGACACATAAATAACTGTTAAACTAACAATTAATTAAGGGAGATGCAGAAAATTTAGACACTAAATTTGACAGTAACTGAAGGTCAGAGGTTTATATTTATTGCCATAAATACTGGGCTGTTTTCAGGCTCTGCATGTTGTGTAGTGGTGTGCACTGGCTCATCAAGTGCAGTTCGGTTTACCATTCACTACAAGTGTAAGACATGTTCCAGACCTGCTTGGTGTTCTTTAGTTCATCAACTACTGTGACCATGCAAGACAAATCAAACTTACGCAAACTGGAACCAGAAAAAATGACAGCAATATTGTGTGCTTTGGATCGAAAACTCCTTCTGATTCATGATCTTACTTGCATGGATGAAAGAGGGGGGTTCCTTTAATATTTCCAACAGAGTTTATTACAAACACTTTAAACCTGCTGGTCCAGAACAGGACAGTGAATCACAAATACATTTGTATTTTATATTTGCAGCCACACATTTTCAATCTTGCCACACTTCCTCTACATAAAAATGACATGCATTCCTGTAACTCAAAGACTATTACTTACATGATTATCTAGAGTTTTACATGTATTTTAGAAAAGTGCTATTAGAACTATAACTAAAGTACCAATAACACAGATCTATGTCTTTTGAGATACTGTCATCTAAAATTTTGCAACACAACTGACATGTGACCTTGAAAAACAGGTCAAGGTTATTTAAAATTTATCTGTAAATTATGAACTGTAGGTGATTTATAGTTATAGGGGTATAGTTTGATGAAGGTATCTGGGAAAATGTCCCAGAAGAACAAAATAAGGCCACAAGCAATGGTCATCAGCACCCAAGCGCTGTGTGCCAAGAAGGAGCTTTTAGGACATTAAGGAAAAATAACAGTCAGTCATAGTTTTAGAAATGCTGACTCTTTTATGAGAACTATAAACAACACGCATGTCAATTGGTTTTTGACTTCATGACTTCTGAATCGTGTGCACTTGTTTAGGAATTAATCAAAATACCTAAAAACTACAGATTACATGTTATATTTCCCAAGTTGATTACAATAAATAAATCACTGGATACTTCATTACTGAACAATAGTTTTACAATTTTGAATGATTTCAAATCTGTGCACTGCAGCCCTAAAGGCAAATCTAGGTCAAGTTTGTCATGAATCATTAGAATGACATTACATGTAAAACAACGCAACGATGAAGCTAACTGTTATTGAGACTCATTTGTTTGAGTTAGAAAAGTGAATTCTGTGATGTCTGACTGACTGAAGGTCATGTTGGGGAAGTCGAGGGAACTTTTTAAAAAATAATTATTTACGTTCACACCCCAGAGATCTTTCACTACAAGAGCAATGCACTAAAGTAACAGATTACTTATAAATTATTCAGGCTTAAAAAGTTTGCAGAGATGGACACACCAATCAACTTTTGTGATAACTGACCACTGCTAATCCTGTGTCAAATGTTGTGAGAATCAATGAATCGTTTATTAATTACAGCTTTTTGGCCATCTAAGCTCCACCTCAAATTATTAATTGGCATATGATGACCATACTGCTTATAGAGGTCGACAGGTTTTTGATAATTATTTATGTCTTTGTCTCTAGCAAATATTTTGAAATAAATTTAACAAGGATTGGGCTAAAAAACCTATGATTGGTTCACAAATTATGCAAATGACCTCAAAATCCAATACTGCAAAACTGCATGGTGTTTTTTTTTATTCAGCATAAGTCAAAGAATCTGAAGAAAAAAATCTGAATGTATGACTCATGGTTAAGAGATACGGGATGCAACACGCTGCACCATAGTGCCACCATTAGGACGACTGAAGTGGTGTAGTGGAGTGGATACTGCAACCTTTTCAGCAAATTTGGTGCTTCTATGCCTTATTGTCTACACTGTCCACAGTGTTTTAACATAGAAATAAAATCTGTGATGAACAGATGGACAGATGGATGGGATGGAAAGAGAGTATGCTGATCCAAAGAGAGTATTCTGATCATGCACACCTGCATATACACACTGCAGATTAAGAACACACACACACACGCTCTCAATCACAGAGGCATTGTCATTGACATTCAGACCATTCACTAGACACTACTTAGTATAAACTTGCATGCTTCAGATCTGCCACCAACCCCCCGGTATAATAATCAGAGATGCGAGGAAGGAATTACATGCTTTTTACACACACACACGCACACGCACACACACACACACACACACACACACACACACACACACACACAGAGTTGCACATCCACAGTGTAATTGTGTGTGTGTGTCTAAGAGACATCAGATATGAGAGAATATGCTTTCTCAGTCTAAACAGCTGAATATAGAGACCGAAATTCACGGCAGTAGAGCAGGACACAGATCACGAGGAATTGTTATGGTAGAATTACAGGTAATTTAGCAGTACTTCAAATGATTAATTTGAAAAAGATGTTTTAAATTCTGTTTATACTCTGTAAAAGCTGATATAGCAAACAAATCTGAGCCAACTCGAATTTCTACTGATCACATTCAGTCAAATCCAACAGAAACATTAACACAGAGGGGGAAGAAACAGATGGAGTGGGGAATGTCTCAAAGTGAAGATGGAGCCAGGTCACACCCCCTTACCATTATCACAGAAAGGGAAACTTGGCGACCTGTCTGTGTAAGAGAATCAGAGACACAGATACACTCAGAGTTCAGAGGATCTCACAAGAAGAGAAAGGGTTAAAGGTTAGACACGAAGCACAGAAACACATTTGTGGCGAGCCCAAAACATGAGCATTTAGTAAGCAGTGAAACATCCCGCTCACACACAAATTCTGATGAGCCTCCCACACAGGTTCACACACACACGTTCTCTCTCTCTCTCTAATTGGGACTGGGCTGTCAGGCAGATGCTGAGGTCTCTGATAACTGTCTCCTAACCCACATGAAATATGATTTTTCTCCATAATCTGTCATTGTGCTTGTGTCTTAGCTGAATACGATCTGATGGAACTCACGATTTCAACTTCATTCTCGTCTCACTATAATTTGATCTGCTTCTCACTGATAAGACCTGTGTGTGCGTGTGTATGTGTGTATGTATGAGTTCAGTGGAAACATTTCTCACACACAAACAAGTCACATGCAACAAAAATCGCCTTACAATTAGCCTCCATTCATTGCTTCACCACAGAATATCAAACATTATCATATTCATGATGTTCACATTCCACAATCCAATCACACTTCAGCTAATTTGCATGCTCTCAGGCCCGTGTCATTAATAAGATTCTCTCTCATATGTGAGCTGTGTATCCTAGCAACAGGGGAGAGGGGAAACGGATCATCCCCGTGATTCTGAAACAAGTCAATCAACCAATCATCATCTGTGTTTGAACATCTTAATATTTTTCAACCTTGAATTTTCCATGTAATGTAAATGCATACAGGGCAAATCTGCTCACAACTGTAAGAATAAAAGAGTTAATGATTAGCAACATGCTAGATAAAATCTTTGAAATGTTACAACATTCTACCAAAAGATCAGAGGAAAATGACATCTAACAGGCAGGCTGAGAGACTGTAGAAGCTACATTTACATAATGCAAACTCATGAATACTTCATGAATTTCACTCTGGTTTAAGGAACATTTAGGAGGGATTAGGCAAATTAATGAAGAACAATCCCAATGAGATCCATCAAAGTAGGAAATAATGGGCAGAGTCTGGAAAAATACCAGGAGACACGCTAACACACACACACACACATACACACACACTCTCACACACACAGAGCTGTCAAAACCGTCTGACTTCTGGTGGTACAAATTTCTGAGAGAAGGAGGTCATGTACAATGCTGAGGGAAAACCTCTGTTTCTATGAAAATGACTATCCTCTAAGTACTCTAAGTCTCTCTCTCTCTCTCTCTCTCTCTCTCTCTCTCTCTCACTTTGTCTCCTTAATGAAGAAATGCAAAAAAACAGTTCTAAAGCACATCAAAATGTGTTAATTGGGTATGTTCTGCTGGTCAATTCAAATTCCTCATGTGCAAAGAAGCAGTCTCATTTGCTCCTTCGCAACTCTGAAAATAGCCCACCTTTAATCCGCTGTAAAAACAACTATGATAATTGCTACTTCAACTTTTGTAGTGATTCCTTCATTATGAAATAATGACACACTCTCAGCTTTTGTCCACACTCTTCTTGAGTCTAGATGGTTCTTCTTGAAGGGATTCTTGATGTAAGTAAAGAGTACAGACTGGTTCTTTAGAATTCAAAGCAAATACAGTACTATGCAGGACTCACTGGCAACTGGTTTGTAAACATTTATTTGTTCAACAATACATTAGAATAAATCCAAACAAATAAATTGTGATTGGATGTGTCAGTGCGTTTGCCTAACCATTTCCAAACTTCTCCCTGAGAAAGTCAAGTATTTACAGCTACCACCCAATACCTAGTTTATCTTATTAATGCTTCATAAAATTAAATCAGGTGTGCTTCTAGCTGTATTCTTCAAACCAATATTTCAGTAACATTTGTAAAAATAAAAGTATCTTCTATGTTTTTTGTATTTATTTTTATTGTTTGTTTATTTTATTGTTGTACAGTGTTTTTATGTGCAAAATCACAATTACTGGTGAAATAAATAGTTTCAAACAAATAGACAATGTTCTTAGCTGCATATGTTTTTTGCACAGTACTGTACACCATGGCAAGGTCTTGCAGAATACCACACAATATCCAAACAAGCCTGGAGCCTTGAGAAAAAGTTAGGCTAGGATGGTGGTGAAATGCTTTGGATCAATAACCATGTGGTTAGCTGGTTGAAAATGTTGTATGGCACATCAGAAGCCAATTAGATTAAAAAACAAAGTCACATGTTAGTTTCTATTATTTCAACATGTGCTAATTTTATAATAGTCTTTAAGTTATGAAATACTTGTGACATAATGGTTCACCTTTTGATTAAGGATGTACCAGGTAGATTTGGCAATTAGCTGTGTTCAACTGGTAAAGAACAGTAATAATTAACCCATGTGTGGTGTTCGGGTCTGTGGGACCCATTTTCAATGTTTACCAAAAGAAAAAATGATGCAAGTTATTATCATTTCAACCTCAGATTTCTTGGCCTTTGGTCATTTTCTGTGAAGAACATATAAAATAAAACATTTTCAATGACTTCACACTGTAAACCCCCTACACAGTTATATTACACATGTGGTGTTGGAGTGAACCCGCAGGGAATAACAGTGTGGAGGTGCTGTGTCCCTTCACTCTGTTCTCCTCCTGCATGGCCTGCTCTTAGTGTGTGTATGTCTGTGTGTGTATGTGTTTGTATGTGTGTGTGTGTGTGTGTGTGTGTGTGGGTGGGTGGACAACATGGACAGGCTGCTGACTGGCTACAGCTGCTAAAGGAGAACCCTACGCTGGCAACTTGTGATATTTTAAACATCTGGTATTTTTACATAAATTGTTATGGCTGTATTGATTACAATAATGCGGTGGGTCCACCAGACGACTGAGTAACAAAAACATCAACACCACACAGTAGTTAACATTTACCTAAGTGAATCTTCTGGAAAAGGGTTCCGCCTCATAAGGAAAACTGCTACCCATTAGAAACTGACCATTTTTTAAATGGTTCCATTTGGAGTTTCTTTTTAGATAGAAGTTGTTGTTTTGGGGCATCTCCCCATTTCTTAGAACAGACCAGATACCAGTATTTTCTCACAGAGCAGTTAAAAACAAGCAGAGCGAGTGCAGGATGGTGCAACACTAACTGAAGCTCGTGTCCTGGCATGTAGGCTGGTGTCCTCTGGGAGGGTATGACAGTTACAGTGAGTGGTGATGTGTAAATGCGCGGACACTGGTGAGCTATTATCACCTGACTGCTCTGTCTCAGGTCGCGCAGAAGCATGCCTGACCCCTGACCCTTCACTGACACATTCCAGATTGGGGTTTGTGGGTAGCTGATGGGAAGGGATGGTGGACTTCATTGCTGTCAAAATGCTGCTGCACACCCTCAAAATCTATTTCCCTTTAATTTTGTCACTGCTTTCAAAATACGCCCTTTCTTTTCATGCTCCCCATCACTCCTCCTGTTTGTTCTTATATCTCTATTTCTGTCTCTCTTTGTGCTGCTCCTCTTTCGAAAAGTCGAGATTATTTAAGGACTGCGAAATGAGGGAGCTGCTTTTGGTCGCTAAAAGGAGCAGTCTGAATGATAGCTGTCAGAGGCTGCGCTTCTCTGTGTGTCAATCAGCCCTGCACTCTTTGCTAATGCCCTGGTGAACTAACCTTTTATTTGCTTTATTCTGAAATACAAACATGCTCTCTCTTTCTCCTTCTCTCTCCCTCACTCAGAGTCACATACACACTCATGCATACTCACCGTTGACCTCCTGTGAGCCAGCATCGGTGAAGAGTGAGCTCATGATCTCCTCGAAGTTGCAGCCGGGCTCAGCTGTGTGTGGGTCCTGGGAGATGTGCCGGAGCATGGTCTTCAGCACGTCGTCCAGCGACGCCTCATCTTCATGCAGAAGAATACACGCCCTCTCCAGAAAGCCGTCCAGGTCCCTGTGGGCCCTTACCTCCTCCTCGAAGTTCATCAGTTTTACATACTGATAACACAAACACATACCCACAAACACATTTAGGCACATACACACATAAAGCTGAAGGTTCCCAAGAAACAATATGACAATGACAATAAAAGCAAAACTGTCCGCTTAACCCTGAGAACCCTATGAGGGTCCACATTTTAATCCTTCACTCTCATAATTACATAATTTACATATTAATTTCACAGTAGGCCACAAATAACTCTCGATAGTTACCAGTGGGGAACCCGGGACTATTAGAGCTAGGCCTTCAGTTTGGGCTAAAAATGCTAGTAGTATATGATTTCTAATAGTAGGTTAGAGCTAAGTTTACACTAGTTTACCTAAACATTTACTGGCCACTCCAGATTAAATAGGGATATCTAAGGCTTGAAAAAGACATTTCCTTAACGAATGAAGAGCTTGCTTAGCTGTATCTTCTTAGATATCACAGGGAAAAAAAAACTCATTGGACAATTTTCTGGCGTTTTTTAGGCGTTTCAGGATTGTATTACTTTTGTTTCCAAACAAAATTTAACAAAGAAATAAGAATAGTACTAAAACAAAGATGATGATTCTATTAAATAAAAATGAACTAAAAATATGCAATTTTTAGTTCCGGGAAATCATTAGACCTTCTCTAACGGCCATGAGGGTTTCCCACTGGTAGCTGCTAAATAATAAGTCTTAAGATTGATAGCTGAATAATGAGCCTGCAGGTTAAGAGATTAAATTGGAAAAAAAAACATACTGCGCTGTCATATCAAAATCTCAAAACTCCACCATTTAATAAAAGGCATGCGTCATTTACATTGAGTGAACATTTCTTCACGAATGTTACAAAAGAAATCTTCCTCAATTACTCAAAATAAAACCTAGAGATTTTTGTTAAATGTTGTAAATGTGTATAGGTGAAAAAAGTGTCTTACTCTTCTTGATGTGTTGAGCAAGACACAGCCATGGACATCAGAATCTAGGAGAGCAGAGTGAAAATAAGAGAGTGGACAAAAAAAAAGAACAAGAATAACAAATCTGGAAACAGAGACAGCTACTAAAACAACGTGATGGAGAAAGACATATGCTCTTGTTTCTTACTGAGGAGTCTCAGTTAGGTCTGATAGTGAAAAAAACCTGACAGCAAGTACACTCAGTACAAAAGGTACCGACATCAGAGAGGCTCAACTGGTTCCCACTGAACACAGCACACTCTCTCAAATACCTCATCTTGAAAACACAAGTACAGGCACTGACTACAAAACTACTGCTCTTCTCCACTTCAGTTTATCACTGAGCACAGCAGGAGCTCAATGAAATACACACACTGTCAGAGTATATGCGTGTGTGCGCGCGTTTGTGTAAGGGGGTGAACACACGCGTGCGTTCATGTGTCCTTGCTTGCCCTTGTTTGCGCCCTGTTCTGTATTGTCCTCAGGTTTACCCAGAGTTCATCTTAAAACTCTCACAGAATGGTGGCGTACTTAGTGCTCGTCCATATAGAGATTATATAAAGTGGAGAGCCTTTATCACACAGAGATCCCCCACTCCTGCATGCTCGTGGAGCAGGAAGTCCTGCCTGTAGAGAGATATTCAGAATGGATTACCACGACCCGCCACTGACTCCTCCTCTGCCTCTGCTCTCAGATTAGAGAATTGCTGGAATGGGTTTAGGATTAAAAGGGGAACTTTGAGAATAAAAGCCCCGGTTTAAAAGCAGAACTTTGGGTTTTAATGAGGAGTAAGACTATGTGTTAAATTAATAGGGTTACATAACCTTTGAGCCGTTTTTAGTGGCTTATCGCTGTCGTTTGAAACTGCTTATTTTGATATCTCCCTGCATTTCTCTCTCTGTTGGAGGTGCAAGCACTAAATACATTTTCAGACAGATTTACAGCTTTAAAAGAATGTCTAATCTCTATCTTATCTAATCATCTGATTTACGGTTAACCAAAAATAAACTACTCAAATTATCTAATCATATAAAATGGTTAAACAATCCATGGTTAACCAAAAAGAACATAATCTAATCAAATCTAAACTAATAAAACTGTCTAATTCAAACTTAACTACAGTGTAATGTAATGTAATGTAATTTCATGTTTAACCAAACACAGTTAAATCAGATTAAACTGTCTAAATTATAGTTAACTAAACACAATCCGATTTAATCCAACTGTCTTACTTATGAGTAACCAAAGACATTCTAAGACATTCAATCTAATCTAAGCTAAGCATCTAATACATGGTTAACTAAAGACAACCCAAGCTTATCTAATCTAACCCCAACGGTTAGCCAAAAACAAATTCACTATCCAGTTAAAACGCAGCAAAGGGTCGACTATAAACACAACTGGTTGACGGTATACTACCACCACATTAACAACAGCAGTGAGCTATCGGCAGTTAGTCCAGTCATAAGAACAGAAGTTTTCCAGTCCACCGCAGGTGATCGCACCTTTGGCTGTAGATAACCATCATCCTGTCATCACAAAACGTTGTCTCTAGAAGTTGACCCCTATTAAGGTCTCTCACACACACACACAAACATGCTCACTTCACCCGGTTGGGCTGCAGTGTGTCAGAGGAGTGGAGTGTGCTTTTAATCCAGACGAGTGCTGACGGCTATGTGCTGGGGCTGACAAGGCGTCGGCTCAGATGAGACAACGTGTGAACAAACCCCGCTCGCGCAGATATGAGCTGATATCATATGCTGTGCAGGACTCGTTGGAGCAGAAAAGTGAATATTAAAATTGGACTTAGCATATCTGTGTGAAAAGAGCTGGTTAGTGCAGTCAGACAGGAACATGCCCTGTCCAGTGATATTAATGAAACTGATTTACTTTACCTTAGTTAAAGTTGGGAAAGGATAAAAGGTAAAGTCAAAGAAAAGAACTAGTGTAAATAATTTTCTTATCCAGGAAAACCTACCTACGCAGCATAACAACTTAGAAGTCACTGAAAAGTGTTGTGGATGCTCTTACTCAAAATTCTTTTCATATAAATATATAAGTTGTCAAAACAAAGTATACTTATCCATCTAATGAATGCAAGTCACACCTCAAAAAAATGAGAAATACAAATTGTAGTCTGAATAAATAAGAACAGCATTATGCTGTAGTTTGTGTGTTTTCCACATAAGCCAAATACAACTATGTAACCGCATAAGCCTAATACAACTGTCATGATATATTTCTACTCTTAGCTGTATTTGTTCAAACATGTGCCAACACAGCAGCAGCTTCAGTGACAAGTTTCCCCAGCAGCTTAACTCACTACTTAATTAGCTTAAGCAGTGGCGATCCCATATAACGGTCTCTGAGCTTTCACTACTACAGCTCTCGCTTTCTGCTAAAAAACAGAGTTCTTTAAAACTATCTTTATGAGACATGAAAGTTTGCCCTTTTGGATTTACCCTTGCCGCTGAAGACTAAAATATTTTGACGGCCATAAAAGGTCTCGGCTATTTTTCCAATTCTGATTTTGCAGCGTCTTTCACTATCACACTGTTATTCTTTATTTTTGTTCAGGTAGGTTTGAGCGACAGTGCCTGACCCGTCACCATGTGTGGGTTTTGGGGTGTCACCACCTAATCACAATGCACCTGAGAATGTTGCCTTGGCAACAAGTGACCTGCTAACCTGAGCATCTCTAGAGCTAATCAACAGCTCTGGGTCCAGCTCCGCTAGACACACACACACACACACACACACACACATACACACACACATACACACACTGACCTGTCCCTCCTTGGTGTGTCTGGTTGCCGTAGAGATGAACGTCATCTCCTGATGGGATAGGAGAGTCCTGACCCTCCTCACGGTCTTCACTCCCCTCCTCCTGCTCATCTCGCTCCCTCTGCTCTGAGAACACACACACACAGACACACACACAACATACGCTCAAATACACTGAAAACACACACTAACACAATGAGAACACACACGCTATACTGCAAAAGTCTACACTCAACATCACCCAGCAAACATACACACCTATAAACACACACAAATACTGAGAAGCTACATGTCTGTAACAATTGGCCATAAACATAAAAGTCTTAATATGACAAATAACCAAGATTATGAAATTAGTTAGATTTAATAAGAATTTCCGATTTAGAACAGACATAATATTTTAAAGCCAAACTGAACTCAAAACTCTTTTCCTGTGTTAGTACATGTTCCTCTCATATCAAGCATGTTTCATTACCTCATTTGATTAAAAAAAACAATTCTTTACAGTTTTCCTGTTATCTTTAATAAAAGTGTAGTGACTTTTCCTCCTCTGAAACAACTTTTGATTTTTAACTACATCACCGTGCACTAGCAGGTGGGGAAAAATAACATTTTTTTATTTTATCATAATTGCTTATGATAAAATCTACATTTACTATACTGGATTATTAATTATGCCAAGACAAAATGGATGTATGTACTGGAAAATAAAAGTGACTCAGATTTTGATATTTGTGTGCTGATTAATTCTGATATGCTGCAAATAGTCAATTTCATTAAAAATAAAAAAGAACATGCTGTATGAGCTAAGTAAAATACAGAGAAAAATCGGACGGCTGTAGCATATTACACTGTTAAATGTTTGTTTAGCATCTTACACACAACCTTCCTCAGCAAGTCCCATTTATTTTCTTGCATCATTCATCTAATATATATATATATATACATAATTATGTACTGATTGATGAGAGAACTCTATAATCCTCACTCACTGATCGTTTTGCGACTGATTTTATCCATATGTAAATCATGCAAAACAAAGATTTGACATCACAGAGTAATCACACAATACATCATATAGTTTTATTAAGATGCATTTCAATCAGTATTGGTACAAATTTATAAAACTAAATGGTGCAGTAAACCACATTATAACAAAAGGATCAGCAGCCTCCCGGACTGAATTGTGTGTTTATGCATTGGATGAATGTTTAGACTTATTTTTATACAAGGAAAAATATCTCATTTGTTGACAGTTTTAGAAATACCGAATTACGTAATGTATTATTCATGCAGCCACTCATAACTGGTTTACATAAAAATATCTGTACATGTAACTCTCACAGTGAAAACATGCTGTGCTTACTGACCTATTCGGAGTGTTAACCCATCTCACAGTGATAAAAACTTGGCAGGCTGACGTGATGTGCAGTCAATTCTTAAACATAACTGCAACTCTATTTATAGTACTAGTCAAAAGTTTCAACACACCTACTCATAAAAGGGTTTTCCTTATTGGTACTATTTTACACATTTTGGAATAATAGTGAAGACATAAAACATAATGTATATGGTATAACGCGAAGGCCCAAAAAGTGTTAAACCAAACCTACTAGCCCCTGTCTTGATTCAACTTCACACACACTTGCTGTTCTCTCAAGCAAAGGATGCTTTTGCAACAGGACTGAAAAAATACACACATTCCCACACGTGAGTATAAGGCTACATTTACACAGCAGGTAAATATATTTCACACCAAATCTGGCTGTTCACATTATCTTTTACATGTGACCTGTATGCGACATCAGTCTGAACAGATCAGCTCCTAAACCGACCCGCATGCGCAAAAGAACAATGCTTCACGTGGCGGCTCATCCAAGGGTAAACAATCATGACGGCCAGCGAACAGCAGTCGCTCCCGGAGCTTTCAGTTTCGTCTTCGCCAGCATCACAGGAGCAATTATAAAGTTCCAGTGACTGACAGCTGGACTTATCACCCACAATGTGTTTAAAAAGGGCGCGTTATTCGGCCACTTCTTTGGTTCGTGTCCTCAAATTCTTTTAACTGTTCTTTGACGCTGCAGTCTCGGTCTCCTCCGGCCGCGTTCGGCCGTTCCGTTCAAAACCTCTTCGAACACGGAGCGGTTGTGATGAGTGGTCTTCTAATGTTTTGGTACAGAAACATCAGCCTAAATGTTCATGAGTCTCAGCCGTGCGAAATTATGACGAATTTCGAGTTGGATTGACGTAAAAGTCGCATGAATTCTGATCTGGCTGTTCAGTCAGACTGAGTCGCACTCCCGCAGATCGGATACGGATCGGATTTCTGTACCACATATGAAAGTGTCGCAAATCGGAATTGAAAATGTCAAATTCAGTTGGGTTTTTGCTGTTCACACTGCCACACAGATGATACATCTGTGTCACATATGAGGAAAAAGATCAGATTTGGGCAACTTTCTATCTGCTGTGTAAACGTAGACTAACTGAACTTTTAAACACTGGGTGATGCAATTTCTCGCTAATTGTACTTAACCTAGACGAGATTGTTTTGGAAATGCAGCTGTGCTAGTTAAACACGTTGCAGGCAGATATAATGCTCGTACAAAAAGCTTCTTCGGCACAATGTAGATTTTAGGACGTCCCTACACCACAGCACCAGGCTTCAGACTAAGAAAAGACTTCGGTCTCAGGAAAAACACACAAATGAAATATTGTCTCAGCTCAGCTTCTCAACTCCATTTTTCTTACTTAATTAATTACAGTTCTGTAGCCATATTAAAGATGCCAATATACTACAACCACGTTTTACTGAACTGTGCCGTATGTTTTTTTACTTGACGAAGACTAAGAATCACATTCACATTGTATCACTGTGTTTTCACCCATGCCCGCTTCAGTGTAAAGGACTGTCGGAAAATTACAGGACAAAAAATAATAATCCCCTGATAACCCAGTTTACCCAATAACCCAGTTATTTTTCACACCGTTACCTCAATAAGAGGACTCTTTTATCAGTACAGGCTTAGGCTTTGCTGTTACTTGTTCGGGGCATTTCAAAAATTTATATAATTTTAATATAAATAATTGGGCACAAGCACAAATTTCAGTATTTATATTTATATTTCATTTACATTTCGGCATAAGCTTTCAGATCGAACGACCTTTAAGATAATGAAATGATTGTTCAGTTAGGTGTGTTAAAATATTTAGACTAGTATTATATGTACAGCAATTATTTATCCAGAAGCAGAATTGAATTGATCAAGATGACGCTTAAGTCATATCTACAAATATAATGATAGAAATATGTACTAAAATGAAGAAAAAAAATGTACCATGTGATTACCGTACATCACATGTTAAGTTGCTTAGCTGCATCAAATGAAAAGTGCTTTCACGACTTAATATTCCAAAGATGTGTCTCTGAACACGCAGCGTCACTAAAAGTCTTCATTTATTCACACATGGCTGGGTTCTATTGCTCTGGCTTTGGCTCTGGCTGTGGCTATCAGCTTCATATCTGTCCATTCATCTATTCATATATTCACTAATCCATTCCCTCTATTATTCTCTAAGGAAAGCTGCAGAGGAGTAGGGGGGGTGTTAATCCTCACGTGCAGAAAGTCACTATACTTCCCCATCCCTAGACACGCTGAGGATGGCAGGGTCTTTCTCTCCACGTTTCGCAATTGCTTTCTTTCTCCTTGTCAGTCTTTCACTCTTCCTCTAGCTCAATGTACCGGCATATTTCTGAATGATTACATTCAAGGCTTGTAGATTTACCGTATTCAGGAAGAAATTAACAGATTTATTTAAAAAATGTCTCTTCACAATATGTTATGAATGATCTTCTTATAAATTAAAAGATGTGAACAAATTAAACAGATGATGCAAATACCGCTTTGAGATCTGATCTAAACGTGTAAATGGACCTTGAGAGCAGGCTTGAGCACTTAATTTCTGTGCTGTTGCAAAAACGGCCTTCGAGGAAGGAATAAAGGATATATGTAAACATTCATCACTTCCCACTCAGATTCAAGAGCTGCAAATATTGTTGTGCAATACTGAGGAAGATATTCACCATTTCCTGCTGCAACATGTTTAGTAATAACAATCACACTGCATTTTTAACCTGCAGGACATTTATCCAGGGTAGCAGAACTATGGAATATATCATAGCATTACATACTTAAAATAGAATAAAGAACTTACAGACATCCATTGCAGTTCCAGAAAAAAAGACAATAATCAGATTACTTTATAGTTACTTTTCAAAAGTATGGCGATTAGAATTGTACTCAGATGGACTTACAAGAAATACATCTCCCCTTGACACGAAAGATAATGAAGAAAGAATGGCAAGCAATCAGAAACTAACGTAAGCGTGGCCCTTTGCAAGAAAGGCTTTTAACACACTGAAATATAGCAGCACTTCATGTTATAATTCAATTTACAATATAGTATAATTTTATTTACTACTAAACCCATGTAGTCCTGGAAATTAGTGCTGATATGCCATTAAGTTCTGTCTAGTACATAGATATAGCACTACTGGCCTTTCTTGCTTTCTGTCTTTCTGTATGTTTTTCTGTCTTTATTTCATTATTCTTTTTTGCCCAAATACTTGTCTATACTCTGATGTGCAGGAAAATGCTTCTCCTCTTTTCTGCATCTTATATTTATACTAAAGGTCAAACCTTATTCTCTGTTCATATTGCTCTTGTGTTACTGTTTGCTATCCAGTGTCGACACGAGGAGGATGGGTTCCCCTTTTGAGTCTTGGTTCTTCTCAAGGTTTCTTCCTCTTGCTCTTCGGGAGTTTTTCCTTGCCACTGTTGCCATAGGTGATGCTCATGGAGGCTTGGACCCAGATTTTTCTGTAAAGCTGCTTTGTGTCAACACCTGTTGTAAAAAGCGCTATATAAGCGCTATATACATTCTATAATCTACGGCTGCACAATATCTAATTTGCTAATCATTATTGAGTACCAATTAAATCAACTGTTTGAGGCTTTCTCTTTGGATGAACTAATGAGCTAAATCTACAGCTAACATGTACAACACTTAATGCTGATGAGGACTCATTGTCTTCTTACTGGTGGATGATGTGCCAACAGGCTAGTCTGTCAGAGCAATATGTTTCACTCTGTATCGCTAAAGCAGCACCAGGCATCTCTGCCTTCTCAGTCTTTAACAATGCATCCTTCGCAACACGCTTATGTTAAGACACTCATATTTCATTGCAGAAAAGTGAATACACTCACTTACTCACAAATCTAAGCAAATTCAGCACGTTTTAATGTACTATTACAACATACAATTTTATGTTTATGCCTGAATCATTGGTCTGTATGTTTTCTCAGTTTCCCAAGATAGAACATAACAAACCAAATGGTTAGAATGGTCAACCGAGTACTCCGGTGCCTGTGCACTTCCCTAATTGCAATGTTTAGCAACAGAACCACAATACTAGTATCTTCTATGTATCATGCAGCTCTTTTATGAGCCCTGCCCTACCTGATATGCACACCTGCTTCTCATTTGTGGAAAAGCATTTGCTAAAGAGCCTCTGTTTGAGCACTAATAGATTGTGTGGATGGTTCAGCAACATAATCGCCTCACAATATTTGGTAACATTGCAAAATTACACAGGCAATCAGTTTGGCACTAGAAAAAAATTTCAGAGGTCTCCAGTTCAGAAAGCGCAAACTAACTCTTTGAACAATTCCACTAGACCACAAGCAGAAAAGCAAAGAAATATCTTAACCTTGGTTTTGCTCTCTGGTTGTAAATTCAGACATAATGCACCACACTGATAAGCCCTGAGAGATGCTGCTGAACAGCTTTGCACCACTTAACAAGGTGCAACAAAAACTAAACTCCATGCCATCCTGGAAATGCCTTAAGAGATGGAAAAGGACTTTATTGTATTACAGAACCAAGTAGTCTCTCTTACTGACAAGCAGCCACTTCGTTCACTCTTCTTACACACACACCCACACACACAATGACACATACATATACAAATACACACTCACCCATCTCCTGATAGAAGTATCCATTCTTGGCCATGCCCGAGGAAGGAGCCTCTGTAATTAAAAAACAAACCAAAAACATGATCACAGACAAGCCATACAATAACATTTTACAAGAGGTCTTATTGTCATATCTGGTTGTTTGTCTCACAGTGATATTTACATATTTACAGGATAGCAAACATTGATTGTGGCCTTTAGGCATAGCTCGACACTGCCTATTGCCTATTGCCCCTGGCCAGAACATTTCACACTTTGGCCACTAAAAACACAGAGTCAGAATTTTCACACATTCAAAAACATCCACCACTATTAATCAAACCATTACTTTACAGATTTGTCCGAATTTACCGACTGCAATGTTAAACTTACCACTACTTTAACTAACATGACAGCGAGTGAAAACTTGAACTCCAAGCATTTCTTTGTAGCTTGTTGTGATGGCTGGGATACTAGAATGTCTAGCTTGAATGCCAATGGCAGGGTTAACAATAAAAAAAGAATCAGGTAACGATGATGACACGCAAAAAAAATGAATAGAAAGTTAAAAGTTGAGTGAAGGAAAGTATCTGTAGCTGGAGTATGATTTTGAGAAGGATGAAATGTTCTGTTGAGCATGTCATCAGTTTCCGCTCTTTGCCAGAAGTAACTCGTTTAGAAAACACAGTATTCAAAAGCCACAGCTTGCAACACAAGTGCTGTTTACCGCAATGGTCTTCAACAAACATACTAACAAACCTGCAGGACTGGCTGATCATAGCCTAATGAAGATGGAGGTGCAGGATCAAATAATAAAAATCTAAAATCTGGCTCACTATATTGTGGAAAAAAAGGAGGATCCCTTCCTGTCGTTCCCTGGTTTGACAAAAAAATAGAGAGGGTATGGGGGCAACACGACTTTTTTTTGGTACAGAAGCTGGCTTGTTATTTGTAAATCCAATGTATAGATGAAAGAGTTTGTCCCATTAAAAATCACTTTTTTAATTCGGGCCACAAGATTCATTAGCTTGGTGGCCCGAATGGTCAATGTAAATTTTTATACCCCTGACTTTAGGCATGCACTGAATAGTAAATGAGAAGTTTACACCACTGTGTGTGTAGACACACACATTGTTCTGTTCACCTAACACAAGCACTTGTGTGTGAAGCTACAGTGCAAACAAACATGCATAAAGTTCTCACATATACACACCAACACATAGAAACATACATACACACAAACAGACAAATACCATACACACTTCCACACCTGTGTCCTACATTCATTTGGGGCTGTTTAAGGGGATATTTATTAGGTGAAGTCAGCCGTGACTGAGGTTTCTCTCTCTCCAGTTTCTGACACCTTAATTGTCAGGCATGTCTTTTTCCAGCTCCTTCTGCCTCTCTCCCTGCCTCTCTCCCTCTAAAACATGCTCACTGAGCGTCAACACACACCCGGCTATAAGACTATGCAATAAAAACATTGATGTGCAAACACGAAAAACTTTGCCATTTCTCAACGATTCCCTCCTGCTTATTACAGCCATTCCTTGCTCTCTACAGTACCCCGGCTCCGCTGCTTCACCCCAGGGTTAAGTGCCTCTCTCAAGGGCACAATGGCAGTGTCAAGTGGAAGGGCAAGGAGGATGAAATCGGCAACCCTCCATGTACTAGGTCCAAATCCCCTAGAGTTCCAGCTTGGATTCAAACCAGCAACTCTGGTTACTGGCATTACAGCTTTAAAGCCTCAGTCAGGATCAGGAGCTGCTGCTGGCAGGCCACTTTTTGGTAGCACCACCACAAAGGCCTTTGAACAACAACTCTACAAGACCACAGCCTCTTAAGTAAAGAAATATGGATGTTAACCTCAGTTATGCTTTCCGGTTTGTAAGCTCAGACGTAATATATCCACAGAGGTTCTGTTTTGACGGGGGAATATTATGACTCTCTGCAAAGGCAATATTATCACACATCATGTTATTCCTGGCAGAAAATACAAAACTGTTGAAAATGTGACAGCGGGTAAGCCTAGTTTTGGCAGCTCCTGTCACAGATTATGCTCATTAACACTCACACAAAAACACGAACAAACTCACAAACACATGTAGATATTGCATCAACCCTGGCCTCTTTCATGTGATTACAAAATAAAATCTCACAACCACATTTGGACAGATGTACACTCACACGTTAAACCGCATGCATCACTAAACTGCAAACCTTGCTGTAATCACTTACGAAATATATCCTTTTCACTAAAACTAATCGCTGAAAAACAAACAGCAACTTGACAAACTTGACACAATCCTGCCCTGAAATAAACAAGTCCTCATAAACACCACACACATTCTGCTATGACATCCTATAAGTAATATAATTAGTATGTGGGACAACGCAGAAACTGGTTGGTCCAGTTGGTTGAAAAATGACTGTTAGTTTGGTTAGCTGCTTTCTGCATCAGTTATATTTGTAAAGCACCTTATTCAAATCCAAGGTCGCTTTGCATAGCATTAGACATGAGGCCTCACAAAGAACACTAAACCGGAAAACAATTGACCGAATACTGCTATAGGGTAGACGGTGGAAAGGTTTTCAAGTCATGCGGTTTTTAAGTCAACACTCATCTGAAAACACAAGCTAGACTTAAATGCAACCGAATAATCCTTTAATGCTGCAATTAATTGGTTGATCACAATAAAAATCTTTCACCTGAAATTGAAGATTAATCTAAAATACATTCCTACCCAACTGAAGGAGGGGAATGAAGTATGAAAAGCATTAATTCAAGTATGAAAAGCATTAATTCAATTTTGTTAAAATTAAGGCCTTGAATAGCACTAAAGACTCTGAAATATGACACCTAAATCTCTTAAACATTTTCCATTTCACTTCAGTAATTTAATCAAACTATCTGTTTATATTCAGAGCCAACATATCTGTCTAATACTAATTTTGTAATTATGATTGATTGATTCTGATAAGAACAGAATCTACACCATGTTAGTGCTTTTTGGGGTCTGAGCTTCAAGTAAAGACGAGAGATACGTATTTTAGACAGTTTTTTAAATAAAAATGATAACAAAATGTCTTATCAAAAGTAAGTACCAGAAAAAATTATCACATGTATAACATGACAAAATAAACTTTTCCTAGAAGGAATTATAATTTAAGCATGCTGTAATTCAGTTAATACTATTAAGATCTCATGGCTTGAATTAAAACTGTGTAGCATTAAAACTTAATGTAGCATTTTACATGTTCAAACTAAATTTTTGACATGAAGAAATTGTGGATTACAATCTAAAATGGCTTGCTATTGATGCAAGCGTTTTTTGGATCCAACTTGTAACCTATTAACTCAAGTCAAGTTTTGCAGGCTGAAGATTCTGCAAAGGGATACTTTTAGTATCGGGACACCTACACAGTTTTCTTGACATCCTATTCTAAATCCATAGGTGTTAATATGGAGTTAACCCCCCCGCAAGGACAGCTCAGGAGATACACATAGTCAACTACCCAAATAACATTCAGTCAGTGTTTAAGTATTTTAAAGGATTAATTGTAAATGGCACATAGTAATCAGTAAGTTACCTTAATGACTAACTTGTCTGTGTTTTGTAGTATTCAACAACAAAGTATACAAAGTGAAGGTTTCTGCATTAAACACTGCTATATAATGATATGAGCGGCTGTACGGAGCACTAATGCACCTCAAAAGTTACAATTTAAACCATAAAAATCTAAACTTGCGTTGGTTGAGCATTCTACCAGAATCAAACCTAAGCCTGAAGCAAGTCAGTATGCTAAGCTAGCACTACCTGCTTTTTGGACAGTACATCACTAGCTTAACTAGGTTAAAAGTTCTACTGTACACACAATGTTTGACAGTTAATTAAACTGATGTGGAATCTAAATTTGACATGGTTAACTGCTAACTGCTGAGTCCAAACATCTCAAACATTAAATTAGCTTAGGCATGTTCAGTAGCTGTAAGTTTTCTGTCACCACTGTGTAATCCTCCCATTAGCAGAGCCGGTTTAAGCGGAGCCTGGCCACTTCCTACTTCTCCCGTTATATGAAAAACATGACTGAAAAATGCCACAGGGCACCCGCAAGCAAGTCCTAAATGAACGGAGGTGAATGGGGCCAAGTGGCTAAAAACACAAAGTTAAAACAGTTTCTAACCACTTGTCCAGGACCTTCCTTCAATTTTGGAAAGTAGAAGGACTGTGGCGTCAGAGCACGCTTTGGTTCCCATGATGCTTTCCTCATGATTAGCTGGCCTGTATTTAGTTCTTAAAATAGTCAGTAAATGTGTTCACTTGTATTTTCAAGTAAGTGATATTAATGTTTACAGTTTAGGTGAACACTGGAGCAGTTAGATACTGTGTTTGGGAGTGAGCTACCATCATCCAGGTTTGGGTCCTGTTTCATAACCCCTCGACGGGATTCTGTAGCAGACTATGGCCATGCTAGATGTTTAAAGAGCATATTTTTCTCTTAGAAATCACAGTGATTTTCTTCTCTTGTACTCTCGCTGCCATGTCAAAATCAAAAGCTTCGTTATGGGCACAAACTTAAAGCTGTATGCTTCTCCTGTTTCCCCCGCAAACTACAATATCAACACTTTATTCAGAATCTGCAATCACACTGAATTCATTTAGATTGATGGAAATCACTGCATGTAAACAAAGCCAACAGCATGTTACATTTGTATAGCAAAACATTATTCAAATCCATTTGCTTCGCAGAACATCAAACACAAGACCGAATTACACAACTGACCATTTACAAAATTCAGGCAAATCCCGCCTCCACTAGTTGTTGCTGAGGCTACTTGGTGTCATCCAGAGCAAATGTGCTAAAAGACTACAAAGCTCAGTATCAGAGTGCACAGCGCACAGAGGATTACATCTGAAAACACTTTATTATCCGCACATAAACTGGCTTTACAGGATGTTCAGTGGAGACACAGGTTTGAGAATTAACAATATGCATGTCGGGAAATTTTAATTCAAAACTGGATTCTGTAAACCATGTTTACATCAATCAAATCAGGAAAATATATTAGTGAG